TGTCAAGGCGCTATCAAGTTTTCGCTCTCCTTGGTTATGAAGGGTGGGGTTAAAACGACCGTGATTCCTTTTGATATTTAAATATTTAAATAAATCTTATTATACAAGAATGAATGTTTCTGACTTTTTTGTTGAATTGGAGTAGGGAGTGTAAGATTTAACTATAGAATTAATAGAATTAGTATTTTTCAGATAAATTCAAATATTATGAAAAATTTCAAAGCACGATACAGATTTTATTTCACGAAGTTGGCGAAAAGTTCAAAAAATTGAATTTCTTTCTGTTTACCAGTGTGTGCGCCTATTTTAGGCCATGCTACTGTCTTTTGTGGCTTTAATTAACGGTCAACGGAAACTTATGCGCTTTCGTCTACGTCTTGGTGGGTATTTTGCTGATTTTTTCTTCTTTCGCTTCATGTTGTCTTAGGTTACCGTCCAACCAACCGAGTTCCGCTTTCGTGTGTGGAAAAGGGTGAAAGGGGGTCTCTCTTAATTTGTGGTTTTTGCATATCGATATGCCTTTCCTTTCTGGCCCCTCCTCCATTTCCCAACCCATTTTTTCCCTCTGGCATGCTGCGATCTCACCCGATATGTCAATGTTCTATATGCCTGACTGATTTGGCTGAGCTATAAAAAAAAAGAGAATAGCTGCTGTTGTTTATGGCTTGGATGTACGAATGATCAACTGTCAACTTCTGTGAACTTCCGGTTCTGTATTTTGCTCGGCTCGTTGGTTCGGGCCACTAATTTATTTTTTTTCGCTCTTCCTCTCTTAACAAAAAAGAAAACAAAATGTACCAACGAAAAAAGAGAGGAACACTTTTTTGACTTTTTTGGGCTTAGTTGAATGTTCTTTTGCAAAATGTTTAAGTTCAATAAAAGTGTGCTTTTAAAAAGAAAGGCAAATTGGTTATTGTAATATTTTTGAATACTTCTAATATTAAAAATTGAAACAAGTCGAAAACATTTTTGAAAATTTTGTTGCAGTGTATAATTCAATTGATTTTTTTTTGTAAACACAACAAAAATCATACATATCGAAATGTTGTTTTTGAATGTTAGGATTAACTTAAATAAATAGCATTGCGTAGTCAGTGGTTTCACTACCTGCCGCTAGGCGGCGCTGTCCAGTAGAAATGTAATGGAGACATGAGCAAATTGAGATCTATTTAAAATTGGTTAACACAGTAAAGCGTTTTATATTGTTTTCTTAAATAAAATTCTTCGAGACTATCGCTTTGTAAATTGGTTTGAATAAGGCGCAGACTTGAAGCCAAAACAAGATGCTACCAGGATGAGCACAACTTAACAATGGAAACCATTAAGCTCCGGCTTCATCTTACATTTCCCATCTGCTCCTCATCTCCCAGTCCTCTCTCTCTTCATGGCGATCATCTCCGCTTTTAACAATCACTTTCGGCAAGGGTTCAATAACCCGTCAGCATAATAAACTGAGTATCTCTGTGGAGGTTCGTGCAGCCCCCGAACTGATGGTTGGTGATGATGATAATGGTCGTAGCATAACAGTCAAAACAACCGAAAAACCAATGATGGCAGAAAATAAACATCCAACCGTAATGACTGTGGCTACAGAAACGACAATAACAATAACATCAGCAACCGCATCGTCCAATAATACAACAATGTTGCAGCATTCGACTTATCGAGTCTGTTGCAAAGTCATCGAAATGCGGAGAGCCGTAAACACGGCTTATTATGGTGACACGGGCTATATCTGTCTATTAGCTGATAGGGCGACACAGAACTTAGCTTATGGTGACTTTCTAAATATATGCACACTTCCCCTTAAAAAATGTAACTGCGGACTAGGTTACCATAACTTCCTAGTTTGTACCCCAATGAAAAAAAGAAAAAATGAAATATGTTTTGAACCGTATCACAATTAGTTACTTAGTTCCAGGGAAGCCTCGAACATCCCCAAAAATAAAATCGAACTTCTCCGAAATCCGAGATTACTAATTCCAACGAACCGCTGGGGTATTGAATGCAGGAAATTAGCAAGAAAACAAAAAAGTGTAATTAAGAGAAAATTAGCAGCGAACAAAGCCAAAAATGCGCATAACCTGTGCGTGCGTTCCGAGTGTTGCAATTGCAACTAACAATTGTTGCTTGCCTCCAATTATCATTTCTGCTCGTGTGTGCGGCGGATTTCACGGTACTCTATTGTTTTGCATTTTGCAATATAATGCAGAAAATACATCAATAACGAAACATGCAAACTTTTGTCTTCTTCTATTAGTGCCAGGGACACAGCAGCAAACCTAACGAGGCAACGGCAAGGCAAAAAACTAGAAAAATAAAATTAAACTGAATATAATGTTGCCACATCTTGATTTCTTTATTTCTTTTTAATCGAAAATCACCATTTAAATAGCTCGCTTATGTCATCGCTGGGTTATTGTTCCTGACTGCAAACAGTGCCTTATGGCTAAAATTAAATAAACCATTCAAATGCTTAGAAGATGACAAAATGCCGCAAATACTTTTGTTCATAATACAGTGCAGCTGTTTACTGCCAACCAAAGCAATCCGCGTTCATTGATTGTTTAGCTGAATAAATGAAGCGAACGATCTGATTCATTTCAGATGAGAAGCTTCTGAACATTGCCAAACTGCTAATGCTGTTTACAGCGTAACGTTTACATAAGCTTTTGGGCGTTTTGGGTAGCAAAATTGTCGACAAAATTTGGCGTTTTATTATGCAATAAAACTAAAGTATGGGCGCGTTAGCATAACCTGTTCTTTTCAGTCCGGCAAATTCGAACTCCACTCCGAAATTATATAAAAATGCTAATTGCGCTTAGTAATCGGTTTGGCTATAGATGAGGCTATAGAATCTCCATCCTGGCTAGACCTTGCCCTAATTCATTATGCATGTACATAAATTATAGAAGAGACGTAAATTATACGGCCAAGTGGATGGATGGCAAGTGGTTAGCCTTTGAATTTGGCAAAATAAGCAGGAACATTAAATAAAACTAGACCATAAATGGGAAATCGGGCATTGGTGGTGAGTACTCAATAAATGTAATAATTAGGTTAAATTATAGTACTCATAAAATAGAGTGATGGAAATCATCTCCAAATCAAGACACTTACATCCATGTTTACCTTTCATTTAATATTATATTCTCCTTTGGTAAACTTTGTGTCCTGCAGCTATTTATTAACGCCTAATAAGCGCATAAAAAATAAAATACAAAAATATAAATAAAATGATGTATTCCACTGTTTTTTCCATAATATTATTATAATAAAATTTAAAAAACGTTTAAATTTTTGAATGCGCACAAAGAACTTCTGCGCGGAGAAATTTTACTGTATTAATTTTTAGACGAAAATAAAAGCATTTCCCCTCAATCTTCGACGGAATTAAGTGTGAAATGTGCTTATCCATGGCATGTATTTTTCGACGTATTGAGAACTGCGTCTCAGCATTTTGGAATTGTAAACAATCCATCCATAGGGGCAAACATAAATACAATTTATTAATTAAACTCAAAATGGAAAACGAAAAGTGCGAAACTGTTTACTCAGAAACGAACTGAGACCAGTGAGCGAAGACAAAAATGCCACGGCGAGGCCAGCTGCAAAAATACGAGCAGACTTATATTTACATTTTGGCCAATGAATGAAATAAATTTTTCCTTGTCTGCTTTTCTCTTATTTTGCGAAGCTTTCAGTTCACGGCCAAGGGGGCGTATGATTAACATGTATATATTTGAACCGAAAATGTGACACAAATAAGATAAATATAAACCTCATTCTTTATATATATCTGAATACTAAATGCACAAATGAAAATAAAAGTATAATGCCGCCTACATTTTCCAAACTAGCATTTTTCATCTCAGGGCCAAAGTGCCGCATCGTCATCTTTTAAAAATAATTATAAATTAAACATGCTCTATAAACATAAAATTTGACCTTGAATTGCTAGCAAAATAAACCGCACTGATATAAAATAGCAAAGGCTAATTTTCAATCAGCACAGACTAATGATTAGCATAATTTTATTTTATACAAAACTGTTTAAAAAAATCATGAATTAACGATTGTGGTTAAAGGTTTTAATAATCCATTCGCGCTGACAACTGATTTGAGGGTTTTCTCCATTTTGTGCTCAGACATAATCAATTTGACTGTTTTCCTTTTTAATATATTTTTCGCGTCTTATAATTTTGTAATTTTATAATATCTACGTATGTGGTCATAACTCTGAAATGAAATAAATTTTAAAGATTGATGGTTTTGTCATTATACAATTCAAAGCGATAAACGTTTTTAAATTTTGTTGGTGATTATTTGTGTTGCCAAAAAATAGAGCAAACATCAGAGCGAGTGGCAATTAGGTGAATGTATAATTAAATTTAAACTGCTAAATCATTAGAGGTTAATAATATAAAAAGAAATTATTATTTAGAAATTATATAAAGCGCGTTATCTAAAAAAGTATCACAACTACAATGAACTTGCTTGTTTTTATCTCAATGATCGTGATCATTGCGTTGACTTACTTTCATATATCTGAGTTCGAGGATATTTAGAACTTTCAAATTCACAGCTAAGTGTAAAGAGTTTTTAACAACCGTTTTCTAGCAAAGAAACAGCAAACTTTCTTGGCGATTTGTTTTTAGCTGAACAATGAGAAATTCGTATGATAATGTTTGTTGACCCTTTGGAAATGGAACAGTTAAGTTAGTCCGGTTAGCGACCAGGCATAAGAAGAGAATAGCATTAAGAATAGTTGGTACATTTGTTTTATCTTTAATCATCAATCTTAACTCAAGCTAATTTAACCAAGAAATCAATACAAATATTTTTATTTTTATTTATATTTTTGTCATACATTTTAATTTTAAGTTGCTTGCTTGTTTTGCTTTTTTGTTTAATTGTTAAGTATTAATTGTTAAGTATCAATATTTTAATGTAACTTCGTAAATATATGTTTTATGTATGTACTATGTTTCTGCTTACAGATCCCAACGAGTAACACTTTAACCAATATTCCACTCAGTCAAGGAATTTCAAAAGGTAAGCTGGACACATATGTGTTTTTAAACAGTTGCGTAGACAGATTTTAGCAAAGGCCGGTTTTCAGAATACATTTTGTGTATCACTATTTTTAACACCATGCTTTGTACAGGATTGTATCCGCGAGGGGGGCTCCATCCCTAAAACCTCCCCCAGGCTACGCCCATGTTTATGTATATTATAAACAAAGTCCCCGACATCCACTCAATCGCGCAAAAATGTTAGCCAAGGGTCGTTAATCAAAAGGCATCAAAATAAAACGCACAGTTTGCCGTCTCACACGGCGCATTGCATCATTAACGTTGAATCAGCAGCTATGAGATACTCTGTATACTAAGTGTACAGGCGCTGGCATACCTGCCAGATACAGATACTTATAGATCAGAGAGTCAGCTCAGTGAGTGCACCGAGTGAAACAGCGTCAAATTGCATTTAAATTGAATGAAATTAATTTGACATGCAAGCTGTGTTGAGTCGCCGCCTGAACTCAACTCGAGACTTGTCTGCTTTCAACAAAGCGTTATGGTTACACGAACAGATACGCACACACTATAGGCAGCGAAAGATACCAGCTACAAGATACAAGATACGCAAACTGCAACCAGATAAAAGGCATTGCACATGTCGGGCGAAATCAAAATGACAGCCAGCCCATACAGAGGAAATCCTATAAAGGGGCAAAAAAATATAGAGAGCTGGCACAAACAGGCGTGCAGAGATTCTAAACGCATCCACCAGATACAATAGCCTTGGGCATAGGTACAGCCAACCGCCTGCTTTGCGCTTTCTTTTAAAAATAACTTGTGAAATGATCTATGCTTAGCTGACGGGCTCCCCCATTTCCCAGCAAACTCCTGTTCCTGCACAAGAAATTTCATCAATGTTTACACAGAAACAAACGCAGTGCAAAGTAATGGCCGTTATTTTTAAAAGCCATCCACCCTTTATACAATTTTCAGATTGCCCATGTATTCAATAATAATTTTCAAGTTTGCAACAATTACTAATTTAGGAGCTTTTTTGTGATTTTATCTAAACATTGTCCATATTTATTGGGGATTACATCAAGCGCCACCTTAGAAGAATATCTTTTCTCTCATATTTTATTTATAGGCAAACAAATTTTTGCGTTCTGTGGATGAGAATGAAAATGCATTTTTAGTTACAGTTGAAATGCCTTGGCGATGGCGTAGGCGTTTTTCGGTTTTACCATTTTGATTTCCTTCATTTGTAACACTTTGCTGCCAGCTTTTTCTTCCGTTAGCTTTTAATAATTTCTCGCCCAGCCTTGCATTGATTGCCTCGAGCCTTTGTCTTTGCATCTTGTTGTATATTGTTAGTGGCTTCGATTCGTTAGCATCTCTGTGAGCAGCGAGATATGTATCTGCAGTGTCTAGCAGTGACTTTGGCAGGCAGCTAAATGAATGATTGCCTTATTCGTTGTCATCTCTGGTCCCCGATCGCTTTGATCTCGGCATTCAGTGTGGGATTGCCTGATAGAACGATTTCGGTTGCCTCCAAGGTTAGTCTCCGAATGAAATATTGTTTGTTTTATTTCTTGGCTTTCGAGTTTCTGCAAGACTCAATTTGGTGGGCTGTGATCAATCGGTTACTATTTATTGGGATTGTTCATATGAGTATTGATGTTTGTAAACTTAGATTAGTTTGATAACTACGGTCCTAGTGTGTTTATATCTTGATTGCGATAGTTATTGAAAAACTCGTTATTGTCAATCTTAAGCACGAAAGTGGCTACAAGAATATTTATTTTTCCCCGATAATTTTTAAGTGGAGCTTAAATTACATTCCTCACTTACCCACAAAACCCCCAATATATTACTGCAATTTACAGCCCGCCTTTTACCACAATTTAATTCAATTTTTCATCAATTTGGCAAACACATTTGAAAATGCCATTTGACCAATTTGCTTATAAGTACCCACATTAAACACAAATTCCGTTGGAATTCTTCTGGGCTGGGCCATTTTGTAGGTGGCCGTAAAAGCCACACCCAAATAATCTAAACTTATTATTATCGCCATCGAAAATGGCATTCTAAAACAAATTTAGTTCGCATTTTCCGAAGCGCTTTGTGAATTATTTTGTTTATGTGGATAATTCATTGGGGCACCGAAACTACAATCCTCGCAGTACATAACCGATGCTGAATTATTATGCATTGACGAGCGACGTTTAATTAGCCATGAAGCCCGGCAATCGAAGGCGAAGCGTAACCACAAAACAGAAATTAACTAAGAATCTAATACAAAAGTATTAAGCCAGAGCCCGTCACCTGTCGGCAGTATTAGATTTCAGCGCTCGAAAATTTTTTCGCCTATTCGCCGCTGAGAGCAGAAAAGCACGACCAACATGTGAGACGTGAGAGGGCGCGGCAGAGCCTCTGAGCCAACCCGACATTCGCGAATTCGTACGAGTATCTCTGCAACCCCCCGTATCTGTGGGTCTCCCCCGCCCCGGACATCGGAGCAATTCAAAACGCGTAATTGTTACACCCTGATTACGCGACCGCAGCGAACCACAAATTAAAAAATAAGATGGAATATGAAAATATCTACACAGAAAAATATACGTTTAGTCGAAATTTTTATACAGATTAAAAATATTTGGATAAAACTAAGATTCATAAGACTGATCTAACCTTCAAATTTAATTCGTAGACCTGCAATCTGTGATGGGTCTTAAGATTTATGATGATTTTTGACAGTTGCAGTATACCAAACAAAAATGTATTTTTTTCACTGCAAATCCAAACTATGTTGGTATCAGATAAAAATGAAGTCCATGATACAATACTGCATAACTCTATTGTTCACATGCACTCCGCATCACACTGCCCACCGCCAGATGGCGCTCCCCCGACAATTGTTGTAAAGTTTTGCCTTCTGAGGGTGTAATGCGTGTGAGAAAAGAGGGTACGGATGTTTGGGATGAAGAAAAGGGGATCAGCAGCCGAGCTAGACTTGCATGCTTCGTTGGTCGCTCAAGGTATGAGAGCAAAATTATTTGCATGCTTTATGTGGGGCTGCTGGGGGCGGACGTGGGGACCGCTGCGAAACCTATAAGTTGCAGTTAACAGATGTAATAACTAGATTGGATGAGAGACAATTTAAACCGTTTTGGGTCGTTTCTTCGTGCGCAATTGAAAGTTAAAGTAGGCTGAAGTCCGATACGTTTTCAAGGTCTACTTTGAACTTTGATGAACTGCGGTCGAAAAAAGGCTCTTAATTTCTCTGTTGTAACACCTTCGTTTGAAAAAAAAGTATTTTCTTCAATATCTTAAATTTTAAATAAATCACTATTACCGGATATAATTTTAAATTTGTTGATCCCTTTAAATACAACATTATACTACCCATTTTTGTATGCCCTCTTCAGTTTTTAAGTCACCCAAGCGCAGAACTGATCTGTAATAAAAAATTCCTTATCGATTTTGATCGCAAGTGAAAAGTCAAGCTATAAACCGGCAAAAATCGATCGCCCCAATAAACGCAAAAGCGAAACAAAATTGTTCCACTTCAGTTGCGAAACACAAAAGGCAAAAAAAAAGACCGAGTGAACACAAAAACAAGAATTAGAGATCGACAGCACCACAAAAGTAGTTTAAAGGAAAATTAATTTTGCACGATCATTGTGCTGATTCTACTCATTGAATTCTATTTGTAATTGTGAGTGTGCAGTATCTGTGAATCAATGTATCTATAGGAGAGGGAGACGCTGAACTTTGAATACGAATGAAATGGAAACTAAGAATTGATTGCAATTGAAAAACTGGATCTGCGGGAAGTGGCCGAGCAAATTGAGAAAACTAGCTAAATTATAGGCCATACGGTAACGATTCGCAGGGGAAATCACTCGTAATTACAAAAATCGCCAGTTAGCAGTAAGCAGTGGCTCTCAAACTGGGATGTATTTGCGTTTCCCTTGGGTAATCACATTTTATTTCGCTTCTATATTTTGGGTTTTCTCTTTTTTTTTGCCATAAATATGGCTAATCCCATACGTTTTTTAATTTTCACGTTTAAGTAATGCATTTCCTTTTCTGAGGGTAACATACTCGTAATATTAGTTTACAGTTGGCAACGTTTATGACCCTAAACGTTCGAATATAAATATATCTTTGATCTGCATCAACAAAAGGGTCGATCTGCTCATGCTTACTAGTGTCTTTTGATCATATACTCCTACTTCGAGATATACTAGTTTTTTACGACTTCATTATGATGGTTTTAATTTGGTATAAATTGATCGATTGTATCGTAACTCATAGAGTACATACTCTATGGTTTCAAACCCTAAATAGTGATCCAACTGCAAAATTATTTTAAGTCTCTACAAATTCCTGTGGCACTGTCAATCCTTAGCCTCGAATTCATTGACCCAAACCTACGACCAAGTTCAAGTGCTCCCCACACTCGTATGACCACATGGACATGACAACATCTGCTCGGTCTGGCAGGCCAGCAATCACGCTGAAGATGCGGTCACATTGAAGTTATGCCGGCCGGCCGCGAAGGGAGAACCTGAAATCAAGTCTGCTTAGTCATCGAACTTGGCCTAATGCAAAACACTGGCAGCCGACTGCCGACTTGAGGATGACTCAGCCCTGGACTGGCGAAAAAAAGAAGCAAATGAAAAAGAAAGAAGGAAATCTGCTACCAGTTCAGCCCACAGAGCCAAGAATCGAAGATCCAAAGCTGAACTGGCCCGATACTTCTGCTTCTGCTGCTGCTGCTGTCCTACTCCACTTCTTCATGGATCCGAGATTTCAGTGTGCAGTTGGTTGTTGGTAGTCGGTGGCTGGTTGTTATGCCCAGTCATGGTTTGTCGGCTCTGCCACGAACGCCCGCCCTCAAGAGGCTATGTGCTTTTTTCTCGCGGAGATGTATCTAATGGAAGCCTTGCACAGTGAAAAGGTCTTAAGTACGGAGTAAAGTTATGAGGAATCATTTAAAAAATGATTGATTAGTGAACTTAATTGTTATTTAAATTTAGTAAGGTACTGAAACATTTCTGATTAAAATGTGTCCATCTGGCTGATATTCGGATTCTCACCAACTAATATTGTTTGCCAAAAAAGCTTTTACAGAAGTAATGCAATTAATAATCCCGAATCTACCCAATTAGCTGCCTGTTTCTCTTAGTGCATGCCCACATTCCTGCCTCGAATACCTTTCGTACGTGTTGTGGTGTACGGCCCTCAATTAGTTATTCATATAACGTGCTAAACAAAAATGTAAGAAATGCAAAATGATGACAAAGGCCACCCCCACTCCGTGAGTTGATTAAGGCCCGCATCCAGCCGCCCTGGCTACTTATGCCTGCCAGAGGGAGCTCATCCTCATCTCTGCCATCATCCGCATCCTCACTCGCTTCCAACAACTCGAACATTGTTTGCCTGTCTGGGCTTTGACAAAACTTTGCATGTCATGTTGTCATTATGGTTCCTTACCCTTTATCGCCGCCACGGAGCCCTGGCTCCCCTCTCACAAGAGCGGATCCTTTGGCTGACATTGTTTGTCTACTACTTTGGGCTGTGGCGGGCTCTTCGAGTCTGCCTGCAGCCGGATATTCATAGACATTATAGACACTTATCATCGGTTTAGGCTTCACGCCTTTTGTCTCAGCCCCAGTCGCATCAGTCCCCCTTTCAGCACCTTATCCCTCGCCAGAGCAAACAGTGATCCCTCTCGGTTTATTCCCGTATATTGAAGTTGTCAAAAGCATCTGCTTACTCTCGACTGTCAATGCCGTCAATGCTTCCCAAACTTTGGGAGGAAAAAAGTTAATAGTTTGTTTAGAAAAGAATTAATATTGATTTTACTTGGAACTAACATTTGTACATCAGCTAGTTTGATAAACCACTAAAGTGGTATTTCTGATATCCATCAACAGCCAAGTTATTATCCATTACAAAGGATTACGCGTATTGGGGTCACTGCTATTCGTTGGGGCCTCGATTAGAAGGTCTGACATCAGACCCAATCACTGGCATATATGGGACCAAGATAAATAAAACTTCATAAACTGCAAACTGTGTCAATGGAGCACAAAGAGCCTTCTTTGTTTATGGGCGGGTCGTTAGCTCTTTCCGAAACTCTCCAATAAAAATCAAAGCCATATAGCTAATACCCCCATAAACCTGAACAAAAATCGTTATTGATTTGAGCCTGAACTAATATTTTTTATGTGAGTTGATAATGGCAACTGGTGGTAAAATGTGATTGCATAATCGGGGAACCCACAACACCTTGCCACATTTGACCACAACCAAATTGTGTAGTGTAGTAATAACTCGAAAGACGAGAGAACTGCAATAAGTTGTTTGTTTAGAAATCAGTTTGGCATTAAACTTTGGCATTTCGCTGGCGATTTATTTTTATTTTCTTATTATAAACAGATTGGTTATGAAACGGTGTTGGGCGGTGCACACCCAAAAAGTTCAAGTGTATGACGACACGATGGTTGCACTCAGAACCAGCCGAAAAGTATCTGACAGATACACAAGTCGATGGAGCGACTGCATCGCCTGTCTTGGACTGCCTGGCTTGCCTAACGAGCGGAAAGCAAAAACATAACAGTAAAGTAAATTAAGTAAAACCACACACCAGAAGCAGCCGCCACATCGACAGAGATACAAATGCACTGCGGGCAAAAAGCAAAAGAAAAACCGGACAGAGCTTGGTCTTAGATGAGAGTAAATGGCGGTCTAGAGTGTCCGAGAATGGAGAATACAGGCAGCTATGCATGTGGCGAGGGGGCTGTGGGAGGGGCTAGCTGGCCGTCTCATGGCAAAAGTGGCTGACCTCGAGAATTCCCGCTTACGTTAGAAGCCAAAGAGATCACTCAAAAGTATCTGTATCTAAATCTAAATCTGTAACTGGGCGCTCGCCGGATTCTGGTTCTTTGTACCATCGCTTTGGGCTTCTTCACCTATCAAATCAAAACACCTCTTAACGAGGTAGAAAACTAGTGACGATCGCACCTTCAACATACAAAAGTTCTGATATCAACATTTGTGACGAAAAATTATTACACTCGTCATTAAATAGACTTTCTAATCTTTTCTCATTCGGCCCGCCCTAGCAGACTATTCCAGCCTTTTTCCCTTCACAGGCATTTTCTATTGCAGCGTGCCGAATAAAAAAATATTAGAAAGTCTATTTAATGACGAGTGTAATAATTTTTCGTCACAAATGTTGATATCAGAACTTTTGTATGTTGAAGGTGCGATCGTCACTAGTTTTTTACCTCGTTAAGAGGTGTTTTTATTTGATATCAGAAGTTTTTGTTTGTTTACATTTGCTCTCATAGGAGCTAATATATACATTTAAATTTAAATTGGTCAATCATAATTTGTAAGCCATTGTATTTAAACAAATTAAGTTAAAAAGTATTTCAAAATACCTTTTAAACGAGGTATGGCACATGTCTGTACCTTTAGTAGTGTAGAACTTACAAACTAACGAAATTTAGCTATTTTTAGCTTTTTCCTGCTAAAGTAGCGGCTTTTTCCAAAAGTCGTAGAACAAAAGATTCCTATATGGAACTCTTAAGTGCAAATTTACTGATTCCATGACCCTAAAATACAGTTCGGATACCGTTCCACAAAATTCAATACTCAGGGAGCGTTAGTTGTTCTGAGCTGGCAAAAGTGGCTATTTTCGTTTCTGAATAACTTTTAAACGCGATTTTTTACATAAACATGGTATATACCAAAATTTAAGGAATCTCAAGGGCTATACAGTTTAAAGTTGTATGGAAAATCGTTAGAGCCGTTTTTGAGAAAATTAAAAAAAAGCTAAAAAAAAAAGTTTAAACAAATTTTCTTTTGTTCATATATTTTTAACTATTACATTTACACAAATTGCATATAGAAGGCGTTTATAGCATTTAAAAATACCTTTCAAACGAGACGCAGCACAAGTCTGTAGCTTTAGTAGTATAGAAGTTACGGCTTTCCGAATTTTAGCTATTTATAGCTGTTTTCCCGCTAAACTAGCGGGTTTTTCCAAAAGTGGTAGAACAAAAGTTTTTTATATCGACGTGATGAACGTCATATCAAATTTTCAGAACTTAAAAAGCATATTTTGGACAAGTGGACAAACTGACAAACAGAATTAAATTTTCATTTTGGGAAGAAGAAGAAAATCTTATTTTGGCTATAACTTTTGAACGGATTTTATCATATGACCCCTCATTCGACGGGTATTTTCAATAGGAACACAACTAAAACATTGCGAGGGGGCATTTATCCCCACCGGCCCCAACAGCTCCAAATTTCGAAATTTTCATTTTTTCACTTTCACCGCTCTCTCTCCCAAGCCAATTGATTTTCTTAAAGTCTTGGTATGCAATCCTTTAAGTTTTTGCAATACCTTTCGATTGGTGTATTACTCATTACGATCGGACTATCACAGCAGATTTTCAATTTTGCGGCTATATAATAGTAGTCGCCTTCGCACACTCTCCTGGTGCGCTTCGTCACTACATGGACTGCCGTCCATAGTGATGTCGATTTCATATGCCTAAAATTGGTAGCTTGCCTCATAAGTTCGTTGTATTCTTTTGGGGCGAGCAGTTGGTTTTGTTTATCTTTCGATTGCGGCTTGGTTGTGGTCTCTTGTGTTTGTATACCACTGTCAATAGGAGATACATTAGCGCCTCTTCAGGCGACTACAAGACCTGGTTTTTAGGATTGGAAAAATCTTAGTAATACGGTTTGGAATTTAAGGTATTTGTTCTACAAGTTTCATGATTCTAATAAAAGTATTATGTAATTTTCTTCCCTTTCAGATATTTTTCTTAACGGTGACAATAACTAATTTGGACCAAATCGGTAAGTTAGGTTAGGGCGACAATTATTGTTAAAATCGACCGACATAAAAAAAATTATCATGCAACTCGCTTACTCGCCACGTTGTGCAAACCTCTATATTAAAACTACAACAAATTTACTTATGTCGAAAGTTAAATGTACTGCTCAACATTTATAGTTTACTATTATTACACTTTCGATAAGTATTTACATTTTTTTAAAACGATGGAAAAGTATGGATAAAGGCTATAGATTCTAAAAACGTAATTTACACAACTTAAAAGGCTTTAACATAGATATTTCCCAATCGTTTTGAATCAGATCTAGGTCAAGAAAAAGATCCAGAAAATCGTTTATGCCTTGGTTGATTTTATGATCTTTGGACGACCCATATCATATTTTGTGAGGGTATAAAAGCATTGCTTTGCCGAAGCTACCTTTCTTTCTCGTTTTTATGAGATTTTGTCAAATAAAAAGTGGTCGACTGCTTCCGGCGCCAAAAGCATTACACAGGTGCTGCGCAGTACAAAAACATTCAACAAAATAATTACAACATAACATCCGTTATAAAAAAAACATACCATATCTGACACAAAAAAACTATCTTTTTTTTATAGAGAATGTTGAAATATTTTTCAATTTTTAGGAAAAAAGACTTTGTAATAGCTGCAAATTTAGGAGAGCTATATCTTTCCGCTAACTGGTCAATAGATGCATATATAAAAAAAGAATGTGTTCATTTTAGTATACATATATTTTGTCGAATGTAAGATCATTTTAGTTCGAATGATACTTTGTCAGTAGATTGTCATAAATCTTAGTTTCTGTTCAAAAGATCTTCCATATAAGAAAAACTGACATTTGTATCGAATTGGGGTTTTTTGTCGAAGGACCACTGAAGAAATAACATGTATTCTCCGGTTGGAAATGGCAACTTCAATCTTTCTGGCCTCAGATAAAAATCCTTTACGAATTGTAGACCCTGTGATGGGGACATGACAATTTGAAATATAAAAGCAGTTTTATACTTACAACAAATGGGCATGAGTGATTTATGTTGGAGAAATCTTGGAAGAGATCAAAAATTATTCCTAAAATGGGGTTGTAGTTCTTCCGCATAAAGCGACACCCATCGACTGTTGCATTAATTAACCAAGGCTTAAATCCGTTTGCCCTTTTAAAAATCTGGACATGAATATTAATATCATAGGCCGGGTGCAGAATAGTGCCTTTTACGTTGAGGAGGACCCTATTACGACTGATGGCCTTAAGACGACAATAATGGAAGACAAACCATGACTGATTATGGCTCAGGCAAACAAAATTTGTAAACTTGAAGACAACTGCGTCCTGTAGGTAGAACAAGTTTGTTAGCCACCAAATTAAAACTGGACCTAACAACTTTTTACATTTAAGACTAGGGCATTGATGAGGAGCCCTGCGAAGAGAAGACTTGCAACCAGCTTTGACAACATTGTACTAAACCGATTCGGCATTCATTTAAAACAGTATTTAATGACAATATAATATAGTAGTTTTAATATTTAACAAAGTAATTATTTTTCAATTAGAAATTATTGGTTTAATGGTGATCACAAAAAATTTATATAGTCCAAATAAACAAAACAAAAACTAAATGCAATATTTAAGTGGCTCCATGTGTTATTAACTTTTGACTTAGCTATTTGGAAACCCTAATTTATGCCTTTAACCGTTATGTTGACGTTTAAAGTTCAAAATATTGCGAGGTAGTTTCCTAGCATTCTGGAATAGTCTTGTTTTGGCCGCGTTCAGTTGAACAAGATAATCAATGACGGCTTAGTAATCAGTAATAAATGCATTAATAATTCGGTTAATTCTTATCAAAGTTTTCCTCCATCAGTAATTAGTTTTCACATTTTTCTGCTGAACGAGACAGAAATACAGAATTCATGTCTCAATTTTAATTTTCCAATGGGCATTTATAACCCCTCTTCGTATCCATTAAATTTGCGTTTATTTTCGTGAGACCTTAGCTTTTTCGCATCTCATCATCTGAATACAAAGTAGTAAATGCCTTTTTGGTAATTTAAATGAACAGATTGCGTTATTCGTATATTAAGTAAAAGAAAAAATTATTAAACCATATAAGCTTTATGATAAATTCTCTTCAAACGAAAAATATATTGCTGTAGAAATTATAAGTACCTTATTAGTGTACCACTTTATTAGTATTAGGTACTCCCCTGAAGGAAGCGGCACTGGAATCTGCTCTCCTATGAGGTGAAACCCCATTACGTATACTGGACCCTGTAAAATATTTACTTTAAATACACTATTTCTATGATTGCAAGTAATACGAGTAACTTACCTGATAGGGGCACGTGAAATTAAAGTTGGAAAATTGTTTAAATAGATTAAAAACAAGTACTACCGGCGCTTCGTATGGCTTCCGCAAGAATCGACAGCCATCGATTGTGATATTGTAGAGCCACGGCATATACCCATTGCCCCGCTTGAATATTTGAGCGTGTACTCGAATGTTAGTGACTAGTTTATTCACAGTTCCATTGAAGCTCAGTGTGGTTCTGTCCCTTCGAATTGCCTTTAAACGACATTTGTGCACCGAAATCCAAGACTCATCCACTGAATCACAAACAAAGTTGGTGAACCTGAATCTAGAAGCGCTCTTAACGAACATTTTTGTTTGTTTTTGGTATACCGTTTTTTTAAGGAATTACTTACAATGAAACTTATTTCGACGGTAATATATAATGCAAGAATTACAGGTAAAAGGTTTGATCCATTTCCCATCGTGTCGAGTGCCACTATTGAGTACTTGTTGTGACACAAAACAGACATCCGTTTGTCCAATGATTCCATATCTATTGTACTTGGTCATTACCAGTACAAAATTAAGTGTCCATTTAAATATTGTACTAATTATACCTATTACCCAAGCTCTAAAAGGTATATTCTGGCCAGTGGCGAATCTAGGGTTTTGTTGTGGGGGGTGATATCAGAACAGTTTATTTGTTGCATACTTTTTGATTTGATTTATTGATATGGGTGATTCGCGCATGAGGGTGACACACTTTTTGTTTTACCCTGCATTTTGTTCATTAAAATAAACCAACAAACATTTCTTTTTCATTGACTAAAAAAATACAAAAGCAGTTTTGAAAGAAAAACTTGTATTTTGGGACACTTTAAAAAGTCAATAAAACGTACGGCTAAATTAATCCAAACATTTGGAAAATTTTTTTTTTGGATATTTAAGAATTTCACTTAGTCATCTGTTATTACGTGTTCCAAAACGGGTTAGCATAATTGCCTAATAATAATATTAGCATATTTGCTTTATTTGGTGAATTCATAAATATATCGATTTTTAAAGTCAAAAAGTGTATTTGCCATAGATGGAAGAAATTTCATTTTTTTCGCACAAATTTCCCCTAATGCTAAGATATTATGTTGAGATAATTTCAAAGCTTATAATAGATTGGCTGGCAACCATTAATTCATGCACCAGACCCCAAAGCAACATCAGAAATCATGGGTCCAAACAATGAAAATGAGATGGGTTCTGTTGCATGACCAGCGATGCGCACTGAAATAACGTTTAGTTGATTTTATGCTGCATGTGTTTGACAGATGTGCAGCAGAGCCATCGATGGTTTGGAGGCGAGATGGATTGCTGCTAGCTCATGTTGCATACATACTTTCTTTAGTCTCGGTGTGGAGCAAATGTACACGTAACTTTCAGCTGCTTTGGCTACCAAACTCTTGCCCCATACAAACGACGACATTAACCTCAAAACCTTAACAACAAGTGCAAAAAATGGGCCTACGCTTGCGGGCATTTGTTTTGCTTTAAAATATTAATGCTGCGGTACGACATATCAAGAATTATAATGAAAATGAAATGCTCTTTTAAAACTAATTGTGTTTTGAAATCAATTTTTATCCCGTGTCTTCATTATATTAATTTTATTTTAATTATGTGTAGAAACAAGATCATGCAAATATAGTATTTTTTTATAAGAATTATTTTAAAATATTTTAAAGCAATTTTAAGTCAAAATATTTTATGATGGAACCCAAAGCGTTATATAAAATTAAATCCTTCGTGCCTTCTTCCCTTCTGTGTATCGAATTAAACATTCTGTCACGCCTTGACTCGAGCTCGATTTATAAAGCCAAACGGCTATCCATGTATGAAATTTTAATTTCAGGCACAGAACATTCTTGGCAACCTTTTTTTTCTGGGGCGTGTCTCGTGGCTGCAGAGCTCTGGCTTTTGGTGGGTGTGTACGAATGTAAATGTTTAGCATGTAACTCATTTTTTACGCAAACAAAATAATTTGAACCTACTGTTGTGGCGGTACGCGAAATGGGTCAGTCCGAAAAGTGATCGTGTGGCAGGACGAGGGAATGATTAAAAAGCCCAGGCAGTATATTTGCGGAGAAATGTTTCTTCATGACATTGGAACCGTTCTTTGAGTGAAGCGAACAAAGTTTAGATACAGGTTTCTGGCCGCTCGAAATGTGTAATTTGCCCAAGAAAAAAAGTGCAACACAGATGGCAACACAATCTACTGGCAATTTCGGGCAGCAAACGGCAGTTGGCCTGAAATGCAACGTATCTAAGCGATACAGATACAAATGCTCCGAAATTGAAATCAAATTGCCGCCATAATGCAAATGCTGCAGTTTGTTCATTGTTTGCTTTTCCTTTCATTTGCTTGTTTTTTTTCCCAATTTTCCTGTTGATTTGGCAATTTTCAGCCCCCCGGATAGAGATAGCAATAGCAATAGCAATGGTGGCTGCAGACAGAGATGGAGGCATGCATGTCACCGGCAAAGAGTTACAAATTGCAACTCAGTGCCAGAAGAATGTGCCATGATAAGTCAATAACTATTATTAACACAGACCAGCGCTGCCGCGCAGTAACTCGCAGATTCAGATGGCGATCTCCAGATGCAGATAAAGATATAGCCGTACGATTTCAATTGCCGCTGATTGTATCTCGGTGGAGCGAAAGTGCATTTCGGCCTTATCGATATGGAAATGTTAATGAACTGAAAATTTTGCGTGTCGAATTGCCGAACAGTTCGCGCTGGGCATGTTTCCAAGATCTACGATCAGATCGCGACAGCGTGATAATTGCCCAGCTATGTTCAGTGTACTAGCATTCCGAGATTGCCATTGCTGTGATTGGAAAGGCAACAGCGACAGACAAAGACCAAAGCTGAAAACCCCTTCGAGACTCCGCTTCACACTTCACTTTCCATTTTGTTGTTTTCTGGCCACGCTTGAAAAATATTTCAATTAATGCAATCGAAAAATGAGTGGGCCAAATGAGAAATAGGAATCGTGGCTATGGCAAAAGGGTATAAATAGATTTTCACTGTGCATTTTGTACATTTCAATCGGTTTATCACGGAATCTAAAGAAATATTTGTTCGGTTTTTCCTTTACGTTTGCGATCTTCGTTTTCAATGTTGCTCCAAAAATATCTAATGATTTGCACACAATGCACTTGAAGCGAGTTGATTGGATCGTTAGTTTCTTGTTTTGTAATTAAAATGTTTGATCTTGACTTCTTTCTGATGTTTTTGACTTTTGTCACGTTCCTAGCGCTGTGTGGATTTCTTTAGTGTGCAGTTTTGAAAAGTCTTATGAAAGGTCTTAGTGGAAGAATAAATATGGGCACTTCCAAAATGTCGCTCGGGACATTTGCACACCTTTAAAGTTGAAAAAAAATTGTAAAACAATGGATTTTAATTTTAATTATGGGCTTTTCTTTTCACTCTTCCCAAGCTCTATTTTTGGTAAAAATCTTGATTTTGTACCACTTTTAGTTTTTAAGATATCGGTAAAAAACTGCCGTATTCGCTCGGGACAAAAATAGAAGTGGATTTCGGGGAAGTTCATACAACACCAGAAATTAGCGAATTCTGATGGAATACTTGAATGCGATTTTTTTTAGAATGTTGTTCAAACATGTCGCTGTGAAATGTTTTTGGTTTCACTCAAAAATTCTTTGCCGTTTTTTTTTTATGCAGTTTCAACCACATTCGCTCGGGACATGTCGCTCGGGACATTTTTTCCGACTGTTTTGTAAAGCGGATTTCTTTACCTCTATCTCTCAATTGCTGGATGTTTTGCTTTTAACTTAATAGTTTAGCATGTGAATGAAGCATTCAGTACAGAAAAATGTCACATATTAGCATTCCTATAAGATAAATTTACAACAGAAGACAGGTCCAAAAAATAACAAAAAAATAGCCAAAAACAGATTTTGGCGTATATTGGTGGGATTTGTCATAAAAATAATCAAACTATACTCCAAATTTGTAGTTAAGCTCAGTATTCAACTAATTAGAAACTAATATCGGGGCCAAATCATGTGGAAATATGTTTTATTCAAGTTTCAAGGTTTTTGGCTTGGTGGACTTTTTTTTGGAAGTGCCCATATATTCTATAATTTTGTTCCAGGGTCAATGCCTTTTAAATTTAATTTGTTTACGTCTTTCCTGATTTTCGCAAAAGTCTAATGACCTAGGATGGGACCTCTTGATCTTCATCTCCCGCAACCGGTTCACCAGCCCCATTACCCACAGCTGAAATACCCTTGATTGGCATCTATTAACCCCTCGATCATTGCACAACACTGGGCAAGTGAAATCGACAGCTGAAATGCCCGTGGAATACGTGTACATATGCTTTGGCATGGCATGTCACCTAATGCGCCTGATATCTTGCGGATACTTACATGTAACACGAAGAAAAAAGCATTCATTGAAGCGCATGGCATGGCCGTCGTCTCGATTTATGAGCCAACCCACGACATAAGCCGGTGTGAGGTGGGCGGTGGGAGGAGGGTGTTGCTGGGAGGTGTCTTGGCTGTGGTTCGGTGGGTTGGACTCAGTGAGTGATGGCTGCACATCAGCGCCCACAAAAGCAGCCGGCGACACTTTCAATTGCACGCCTCGAACTCGGATTCGGACTTAGATTGGGGTTCGGACTGCAGATTGAAACGGGCACGGGAAGTTGCACGGCACAAAATTAATTTTTACTACAGATTTTGTTTAATTTTAGGTTATGTAATCCAATTTGGGCATATGGAAAAAATATAGTTTAATTTTAAAACTTTATTTTCCTAATTTTTCTATTTATATATGTTCGACAAAGGTGGGCTTATAAACCAACGCCTCTTGAAATCAGCGTTCTCCAATTCCTTGAAATACAAAGCTGCAGATTGCTCTGAACTCTTGCTGTCATTTCTCTCAGTGCAGTCGCACTTTCTCGGTGTCGCGCTTTGATTTGTTTTCCATGGGATTTCTTGCTTTATTTTTATGGCTTCTTTTGGCGCAACAATTTGAATGTCATTAGTGTCAGTGGCCGGCAACTAACGGAGCTTGACACCATCTCGTCTCCACCGCCCAGTACCCACTGATGATTTTCCAGCGCCGACACACCCCACACACCCTGTGATTTTTCTTGTTCACACTTTTTAACGCGAGCGAGGCCGCGTTTGGCTGGAAACCAATTTTAATTGTAAGTCACGTTAAACATTAATTACAATGCCACTTTCCAGCCGGTCAACTCTTCGAGCTGGTCTACTTTTGCTTTTGTTACCGAATCGCGGTTACTCGAAAGTGTCGCCGGCTCCATTTAAATGTGCTGCTCCGCTCAGCAGATCATAAGCGAAGTCTCTGCCACTGGAGCGGCCACTAAGAAAACTACGGTTATTATTTGTTTTCCCCAAAGGAAAACACAAACCGAGCCATTGTTCTGGGGCAAAGTGCTCCATAATCTTGATTTTACTCGCCTGATAAGGTAATTCGTTTGCCCCTCTTTAGATTGAAGTCCCTGATAAATATTTAATTAGATATTTTGCTGGTACAGAACGGTCTGCTTATTGTTTGTCCCTCGTCTTCTAAGCGGAAAACAGACAATGATCGTCGTCTTTGAGTACGGAGCTCTGTTTGCATTCGTATTAGACGATGGTAAACAATATGCGAACAAGCTTCCAGTTGTGATTGAGTGGCTGGAGCTATGGTGATTCAGAATAATCTGAAAAAAGAAAAAGAGAAGAGAAAGCTTTTTCTAATCCGATCTTACCAAAGACTGAACTTTTTTCTCGACTTGTGCATTTATAATTCCACACTGATACAATCCTTTCGGTGCACCAAGATGGTTCTATACATTTAGCTTGTCTCTAATCAGAGAATGAAGTTTCTACTTCCAAAGGCCTCAAAGCCTTGCCCTTGTTTGCCTGAAACACCACTTTGTATGGATCGTTGGCTTGGGTTTTTCTTTGATGTTGCCAATCGCCGCTTTGGAGTGGCTCTAACCGCTGCTGCTAATTAGCTAAGACTCAGCTAAGACAACAGCGAAGACAATTGCGTGGCATTTACGCGCCGCTCTCTGGTACAGAAGAATTCTCCTTCCCCATTAGTATTCGCACTCTCTTCCACTTCTCGAGATCGTCATCAAAGTCGCCATTATTAATTAATTCAGCACCCGGGCCCATTCAAAAACATCTTGATACAATTTCCCGCCGAGAGCCGACATATAGGCGTCGTCTTGGCTTTGCGTCTCGATTGGCGCCATTAAGATAAGATTTAACGTTGATCTTTTCCTAACGCTTAATAATTATTGCTAATAATAATAAGCCCACACTCGGAAAAGTTCGGCGCGATTCTTATGTAAAAGATTAATCCCAGTCTTGCCTTTCCGTTAAATTCAAATTATTGCGATTTTCTGCTGCCGTCGTTGACCTGGTCATTAAAGTTATCTATTGAAGTGGTTTGTCTTTTGTTGCCGCTTTTGTTTTGGTCGTTAGGGTACATTTAAAGAAAAGAGGAAAGATAATGCACTGAAAAAGAAAAGCTGAATTGAGTAACTTTGTAAGAAGACATACGATATCTTCTAAGTTTGACTTTGATCGGAAAGAGATATAAAAAAATTAAAATTAATTAAAATCTTTATCCTTGAGTACAGATTTTCTAGGGTCAATTATTTTTCAAGTTTCTTCTGGAAAAAGGGATTCCCAATTTATCTCTGTGCAGTAAATGCTGCAGTTTCATTAGGTTAAAACCTCATCCCTCCGTTAATTGCCACAATTTGAAGGTTTTGCTTTAATTTCTCTTGCAGTTATTATATCTAATGACTTCGCTGTTGTTGCTTGCTGTATTTTATATGCAAATTAGCATTCAGAGACATCGGCATGAATGCTTAACATCACCATCAGCTCATGTTGATTAGCCTCGTGCCGTTGTGGAGTTTCATCTGGAGTCTTGAGTCTTCTGTCTTCTATCTCAAGTGCCTGTCTTCTCCACTTGCAAGAGTGGAGTGCAGAAAAACGTTGGCATGCTGATGGTTCTGATCAGTGCGAAAGAGAGATCGCGCTATGCAGAAAGATTAGAGATCGTAAACAAATCGAGATTTATCAGACAAACCGTTGATAATCCAAGTTGATGGCAGAATCTTTACAAGCACATTCCACCTAATGGAGCATTATGAAGGGTGCGAAGACCCCCTAATGATCAGCTTCAATTTCGATTTGTTTGTTCTTCACAATAAGTCCGGAAGCCACGGGCATACCTAATACTTATCAGCTGTCGTATTAACCTCATAATTATGACAGATACAGGCCCAGCAACTCATCCTCCCGACGGCAAAAGCCCGCTTCTCTCGCAACCTTTTGAACCCACTTTCTAGGAAAAACTGGAAACATGCTGGGTTGCATTCATGGAAAATTAATAAACAAGCTCGATTACAAGACGGGGGAAAACAGTAGAGTATCTAATAGTTATTAATTAGTAGGAGGGAATGAAAAGCGTAGCAAAACGATCAAAAAATACCGGGTCACATGGAGTGAATGGAGGGCAGGGAAAAATAAAGAAAAACAAAGCAACTCAGAGCTCGTGGGCCGACAGATGGATGACGAACGACGCGGATGACGACGTGGATGGGGCACGATGACGATGATGACTGCGGCAGAAGTTTAAAGATTGACCCGCATACCAGCGTGTGGGTCCCAGGCCGCTGAGGCATCCACCCAGACGAAGGGGGGCGGAGGGACGGAGGGGGAAGCAATTGCACAATTAGATAAAGCATCTTATGGCTGCACTTTGATGAATGTTAATTGAACTCCGCACTCGGCTTTTCGAGCATTGTTCAGCTGTCGTCGTCTGCCATCGTCTGCCAGTTGAGGAAATGCTTGAGAGTTCTTCTGCAGATCCTTCACGGATGCACTGGCTGAAACTAGCTCACCTGCCCACTCAACTAAGAGCTGAGAGCGGGGTTAATGGTTTCCAGATGAGGCCAGCACTCGAATTCCGACACCATATTATCGTGCGTTTCGTACTAAAAAAGGTGTTTCTTTTGTTTTGCAGCTAATGAAATTGGACACCTCCAGAAACCGCGCCCGATGCGCGTGGGTGGTGGCGCATCACCTTTGAATCGAACTCGGAGACATGTTGAGCCGCTGACCAGAGGCCAAGAAACCCGCGTAGGTGTCCGCTGCCATGTGAGCAGAGCTCAGTCGGCACACACAACACTCAACGGAAAGCCAAACTACAGAGAAGCGAAGCGCAGACGACAGTTACTCGCAGACAGGTTGCAGTAACACTAAGCTCCAAATGGAGGCCACCGATCAGGATGTCATGCTGGAGGGCGGCGAAGACCTGATGTCCACCTCGGCCACCTCGTCCACAAATGGCGGCGATAGCAACGGTTGCGGCAAAAAGCTGGTGAGTTTCCCTTGATTTTGGAGCTTAATAGGTGAAATATATTATCTAGGAAAATAGGTTCACAACGGAGTACAGTTTAAATGTATTACTTTCTTCAAAGCATTTCAACCGAACCGAAGAAAGTTTCTTTTAGTGTTTTGAGCGTTAACCTCTCTCGATAATGAAAGTTCTAAGGGGCTCCCCGAGTTCACTGCATTTGCGTGCCAGATTTGAGTCAAAGCCTACCATATTGACGGAAGTATTTGACGGCAATTGGCGATGAAGGGATGGCCATGCACCGTTTGACTTCTGCCATGCTCGGTGGAGGCCTCATGCTAATACTGCACCACTGCTCTTGAGTGGGTGGGTAAAAGCAATTGAAATACATACTGAGACCACTGCCAGCAGTTAAAGGTAAAAGCACGCTAGAGGAAAGCAGAAAGTAATAAAAAAGAACATCAATTATTTAATGGGTCCGTTTGAGCATAATGGAACAAAAAGAATGAACTGAAATAATTCTTCCACAGAATAGTGACTTTTTAAACTTGAACTCTGTTTTTTTAGAGAACCAAGTTTTTACTTATTTTTCATAAATTGCGTCTCTCTCGTCGTCTTAAAATATAAATATCCCATGCAAATCGCAAAAGTTTTGTAATACCTTATTTACAGCCCAAAAAAACATATTTACTTTATTGATTGCATTTATTCCCTTCGTAAATATAAAGCTGACTCAGATCTTGCATAAACTTTCTAAAAGGTGTAAATAAATCACAAAACGCAATCACTTAAGGACTCAAGGTTTTCCTTGGTCTGAAGTATTAGCCAACCAGAATTTCCATATAAGCCGCTGAATACTTTATTCAATTAAAGACCGCTCAAGGCTGCCAGCTTAATAAGCAAAATATTTAATGGGATTTAAGAGCAGAAAATACAGGCCAACTGCCCACACGTTTATATGGAAGCAGTATCAATGACTCCACTCCCTGGGCATCTGTCCGCTGACATTTGCATTTTGCATTTGACTCTCGCTCTCGAACCCCTGCCCCAATACCCTCCTCCAGCCAACTCCACTCAATTGGAGGCAATTCATGCTAATTAGAAATTTTATTGCATTTGCTGCATTTATTGTTAATTGCAGACCGTAACCTCGCCAGATCCCACATCGTACGTGACCAAGCAGCGAGTGACGCGGCCCACGCCTCCTGCTCCTTCGAAAAATCCGATGCAGTTCGTCCAGATCAAGCCCTGCAACCTCTACCAGACGGCGCAGGAGCAGCTGAAGAAGGCCGAGGAGGTCAAGAAGCTGAAGGAGGTGAAGAAGGAAGAGCCGGAGGAGTGGCAGAACGTAAGTCCATATTGATGATATCCGAGGAAAATCTCAACACTAAATTAAAAAGTCGTAACTGCATTTTGGAAGTTCTGGAGAACAAGCATATATTTCTGCATAAACCACCAGGCCAATATAGTATACTTGGTTTTTAAATGTTTAATGAAATACTTAATAGTCGGAGCCTAGAATTATTTGGACGATAAGGGTATCTACTGATCAGCTCTTTTCCATTTATTTTTTTATATTTGCTCACTGGCCGTTCGTAACTTCTCGCAACGGATAAACTAAAGCGAAACCACTTGGGCATGGCACATGGCACACGGCTCGTTATGGCCGCTCCAGTTTCCAATGCACGTCGCCCGTTAGCGGACAAAAAGATATTGCATTGCATAATCACTGTTACTATTACATTTTGTTGATAGTTTTTTCTCCGCCGCCTGCCTTTTTATTCGCTTCTATTTTCTTTGAGCAGCGTTATGTGTTACATGCAAATTTGCTGCTGCCATAACCCCGGCGAGGAGCTGCCTTTGACGTGACTGTACCCGCCTAATTATATCATACTCTGCCATTTCGATGCAGTCGCTGCATTTGAAGTGCCCCTTGGACGGTTGGTCAATGTTCCATGGGCAGCACGTTTATCGAAATTTCATAGGTTCCCAGACATAACTTTTGCGTTACGATTGTGTGCCAAAAACAAAAGGCCAAAAAAATCCATTAAAATGCGTACAGCGTTTTGGAACTGGGCGACCGACTTCGATGGGAAAGGAAGTCCAAATGCCGCTTTAATGGTCTTTGAGTGTAAATTGCTTTCTTTTTGTTTTATCATCCAATGCGAACATTTTTATTCCTCGATCTGAATTGCAGATCAATAAAGATCGAAGCCAGCCGGAAGCTTCTTAGCAGTTAGTCAAACGAGGAAACAAAAGAACTCCGATGTGATTAATAAAATAAAGTGATTATCGACATGAAAGAAATTTTCACGAGATAAACTGAATGAACATATCAGGTTATTCCGCTGTAATCTTAACTCTGGCACATCTCGTTGATTCATACAAAATGGGATCAGAAATTCTCTATATGTGTTCCGCGGTGACAGCTGAACATGAAACTGAGCGAAGTTCACGCGCTTCGAAAACATTTCACCTTTGTCACGTAGTTCCGCAGCCGCGTCAAAACTTTTTAATTGCCATCAAAAGAAACTTTTGCTCGTCCACTTCCACTTCCACAGTGCAAATAATACAATGACAATTTACACTTACACGTCTGCCATTTCATTTTCTATACTAACTTTCGCTACCTTTCTGCCCCAAAACAAAACACGGCCAACAATGCGATCTGGTGACAAACAACAAACAATAAATAATAAACGGCAAACACACAAACAGAACCTTGACAATTGGAAATCATCAAGGCGAAAACGTGTCGAACACATCATCGATCGTGCGGTGGAGACGAAGAAACTCGAGCTGGAGGAGCATGATCGCATGCGACGAAAATCGAAAACATTCACCGAAATGATGGAGGAGAGGCAAGTACAAGTCCCAGTTTCGATCGAGTGTCAAAAGTGTTCAAGTGTCCAAAAGGAATTTGTATCCTATCAAACGAAAAATAGCGCCAATCGTATTCCAATCACATGTTTCAAAAGTACTCTCAAATTGAATTAAAGTCTCCAGTGTAATGTCAATGTAGCATGCATTTGTTTAAAGATACAGGAGTGCAGCAGAAACAGCTTACCGCTGAATTCGTGCTGAATTCATACGTTTTTCATATGAAAAATAGCGCCAATCGAATTCCAATCACATGTTTACAAAGTTTTCCTAAATTTAATTAAACTGGAGACTTTAATTTTAATTTTAATGTCAATAATGTAAATAATGTAAAAGTTACAGGACTGCCACAGAAACTTCTAAGCGCTGAATTCGTGCTGAATTCATACGTTTTATGTTTTTCTTCATATGAATTCAGCCCGAATTTAGCGGAGAGCAGTTTCTGTGGCACCCCTAATGAATTGTTTCTTTGTAAAGTTTTAAATTATTTATTCTTCTTTAACTGAATATCAATTTAAAATTTATATTATCAACATTTCATAATATTTTAATCAATATTTGTTTCTGAAAATATTATTGTTGGTATTATTGTTAACGTAGGTTAACAAGTTGGGTTAAGCCCCCTTTAAGTGAACCCTTTCGAGTATATATATTTAAAAAATAAAATATCCTTACAGGGCTGAACGGGGTGGACCTCGGGGGCGTGCCAAGCTGGCTTCTCTGGCCGTTTACAACGAGGACGAGACGAACGATCTGAGTGATCTGGGAATCGGAACCAGCAGCGCCAGCGGAAAGAGCAGTCTGTCCGAGGACTATGACAATAATAGTGTTATGGTGCGTACAAAATAGGGGTCAATGTAAAAAATCACAACAGTGGCAATGACATAATTAGCTCCTTTTCTAGTACCAGTCCATTTTATTTAGTTTCTCTGTCTTAATATTTTTTTGCCATTATTAAGAGTCACTTATGGTGTGTGCTTGTCACGGCGTTTATAAACAATTACAACAAATTAACAATTAAATCTAATTTATAAGCATTTCGCCGCTAAGCTAAGGCTAAAGCATTAAATCGGCCAATGAAGCCTCATTGGAAAGTGTTGCCAGCAAAGCGATGCGACACGGGCTAATAAACACAAATAGTTTATTAATCAAATGCGCGCACAAGCACCACCACTATAAAATCATAATCATAAATAGTACACAATGAACCACAAACAATCGACGATGCACAGACAAATAAAACGGAGATTCCTTTCAAGATTGAAATTGAGCGAGAGATCGAGCTGCGGATTGGGCAATTAGACGCGCCTGTCGACGGGCCATAAAATGTTGAGCTGCAAACTGTGGAAAATATATGACATCTGGGACCTTAGGGAATTGGGTGGAAAAGATTGGAAAAATTCAAGAAAATGCCTTTGTATATATATAATTCAAATGTAAGCGTAATATCTGCAAATATCATATTACTATAAATGAGCAATTTTCTTTAAATATTCAGATTCGTTTGCGCAATACAGAATATAACTTAAACTTTTCGAATATTTGCAAGAATTTTAATTTAAATTCTCATATTTGACTTTAAATTGTTTCTTGAAGCCACATATCTAAAATAGGAGATAATTTTTCTAGCTACATGAAATATTTTGAGGTGTAATAGAGCTATGTTCTTTGTCGCATAATATTCTACCATATCTTTTTAATATTAATTCACCCATTTTTAAACGAATTTCATCTGCCTTCCCTAGAGCGACCATGCCGCCGAGCTGGACAAGGCGATTGGAGCAGCTGGCTCTGGAGCTGCCGGGGCAACCTCCCGAAACGTGGACGAGCAGCAGAATCACATCAACCGCAACGGCAGCAATGGGAACCACGGTAACGGAGTGGCCGTTGGCCAGGCGGTCATCGCCAATCCCACCAGGGCTGCAGGCAGGGAGTACATTTCCTCGCCAGGATACGACACGTCGTCCAGTACGGCGCCAGCTAGTTCGCCGGATCCATGTGAATACACCTACGAGGGAGCCATCCAGGACTACAAGCAGCGGGTCCAGAGGGCCAGCAGCAACGGCAACGGAAATGCCAATGGCAAGGTGATCGGAGAACCCATTGCGTATCCCACAAGGCGTGGATCCAAGATCGAGGATCGCCTGAGCGGCTTCGAGGTGACTTCGCCCAGCGACACGCAGGAGGGCGTGGAGAAGCCAAAGGTGGACGTGCCCAAGGTGGACATCTCCAAGCGGAAGGAGATCTTCGAGCAGGCCAAGGCAGAAGTGTCCAATGGAGCGGCCTCCGCTGCCCCCAAAGTGGTCCTTCGGGATCGCCTAACCAACGGCAATGCCACTCCCACAGCCCCCAAATCGGATGTGAGGCGTCTTTCCGGCGACATATCCAGCATTCGGGACCGCATGCAGAGTTTGGAGCAGCAGCGGAAGGCCTTCAATTCCAGCAAGAGTGTCGACGTGCCGGTGCCGCCGCTCAAGCAGCGTCTGAACAGCCTGCAGCAGTCCGTTACCAAAGAGGAGCAGAAGAAGCCACCGCTGGTGGCCCTCATCGATGCCAGGCAACTGGAGATCATGAGGGGCGAGGAGGAGCGAATGCGCCAGCAGCAACAGCAGCAGAAACTGCAAACCACTGTGCTCGCTCCTCCGCCAGCACCGCCGGCCTTGGTTATAGAGGAACCACCGGTGGCAGCCACCAACGACGACAGCGGCATTCAGGAGGACAACGCGGAGGAGCTGCAGCAGCAGCAACTCAACGCAGCCATCGCCGCCTTGGCGCTGGAGGAGCGGCAGTTGGAGGAGGCGGCCAATGCGGTCAACCAGATCGAGGCGGAGTTCGATGAGCTGACCGATCTGAATCCCTCGCCATTGCCACCTTCGCCGGCTCATCCGGCGGTCCAAGCCAACGTCCAAGCCGCTCCGGCTTCATCGCAAGCGGCCAATCAAGCGGCTGCTCCTCCATTGCGGGACATGGAATTTAGTGTAAGTTCTACTAACAATTTTATCGAATCCGCTAAGTTAAGTCCCTGTGATGTTGATGTAGTAGCTGCTTCAGCGGTGTCGGTGTCCAAGTCTGGCCCCACTCCCAATCCCCCATCCACTTCCTCCCCCAATTGTAACTTGCGTAGAAAGCCCTCCAACGAAATGGTCCATCATCGCAATTTGCTTAAAATGTTCAAGGAGACCTTTCAGAACGACGACGATTTGAAAGAGGTCGGTGAGCCGGTCACTTCGCCGGGTCAGTTTAGCCAGATCTTTGATTTTACCAATCAACCAAGTAATCCCTCGATACCAGCACCCTCGAGTCCGATCCCCACCCAAATACCACGTCCCCTGGGCAAACCGCCCATGTCGCCCAAGGCCGTGAGACTGGCCTCCAGTCCCAGGGCTCAGATTAATCCCGTAGGTTCGCCCACGAACCCCGGGCCCTCGCCTCCGCAATTCAGTATCAATGGACGCGTAGAGATTTTCAATTCACGGCAACTGGACAAGCCGCCAACGCCGCCAGCTCCTCCCAAGCGAACTGTGCGGATTGAGCAGCCACCCAAGGAGGCAATTCCGGCGCCTGATGTGGTGATGTGTGCTCCGCCCACGACCATTGTTCATCCCGATGAGCTGCCCAAGCCAAATACCGTGAAGGCCTTGTCCAATTGCTTCAGCCAAGGCGATTCCACGCCGGTTACCTCGCCCATTATGTCGCCCAAGCCTTTGCCCCGGAGTCGCATTCCCCAGATCACACCGCCGGCCTCTCCGAAGCCCCTGAAACGAGCTACGGTAGATGAGGTGTACCGCAGCTCCGGCGACTATGCTCCGCTGGTGGGCCAGACCAAGGCGATTGTGCACACGCCCCCTAGCAAATTGAACCTTCAGATTGATCCCCTTGCACCCAACGACTCACTGTACCTGCACACATCTTCGCCCAGCGAGATGCCCTCCTTGAAAGCCTGTTCCCCCAATGAGTCCAGTCTGTTCAAATTGGCTTCATCGAGACCCACCTCGCCCTCTGTGGAGGTGCAGGTGGCTCTGTGCCAGCAGTTCCTGGACAGAGAAGCGCCCAGGGATATTCAGCTGGCCGATGAGGACCGTAGGATTTTAGAGCAATTCGCTGTGGATGAGGTGCCCTGTGATAGGATCGATGTGACCAAGTCACCGCTGCCCAGTACTGGTTACCAGAATGTGGCCGAGGACCTGGTGAAGCCCCAGGCAGTGAGAGAGCTGCAGCTGGAGGAGATTCCCAGCCAGGAAGACATTGCGCTGTGTGCGGGACTGCTCGATTGCCTGGCTCCGGCGCAGGAACCCCTCTGCGACAGCATCGATGTGAAGAGGGCACCAGTGCCTGCCACTGGCTTCCAGGACATCAGCGAGGACGAGGTGCGGCGGTGTGATAGATCGAGTAAGAGCTCTCTAATCACAAACAGACCCAGCTCACCCATCGGCAGTGCCAGGGCAGCCCATTCGAAGGCGCTGATGGACACCTGCGAGCAGATCATTGCAGAGGAGCGACTGGCCAGCAGTCAGATGATGAAGACCTCGCTGCCGGAGTCCGGGGAAACCAAGGCTTCGACGCCACTACTAGGTCGCAGATCAAAGATTCCCATACCGAAGCCCTGCTGTATTTCTGCTTCGGGAAGTGATTCGATTAGTAGAGCGGGCTATGCACCAACTGCCTCGGGGAACATAGAGCAACCACTGATAGCTCGCACGCACCTGGTGGAAACGGAGATCAAGGTCAAGGAGATCTCCCCACCCAGCTCGCCCAAGCCTCAGCCACCCGCACCGCCCGTTAAGGAGAAGAAGGCCAAAAACATATTCGATTTCCTGCGCAGAAATTTCGGGCATCACGAGGAACCACAGCCTCATCCCACGCTCAACGAGACTCTCGAGAAGAAGGTGGTGCTCACTAGCACCAAGAGCGGCGTGGATGTGGTCAATGCGGATGAGTTCGTTCGGGTGGACAACTCGAAGTTCTATGTGGCCAGCGAAGGGGAGGACGAGGCAGCTCCGCCTCCTCTGCCCAAAACCCCAGCTCCCGTCAACATTGAGATACGAAAGAAGATCACTACGGATGAAATATTGGAGGAAAATACTACGGAACAGGCTTTGACCCAGGAGATCAGTGATTTGCTGGACGACGAGATCATGAAACTGGAGGCCTCTGGGGCCTCAACGCTGAAGAAATAGTAGAATCGGAGTAGAAGCCGCCTCCAGATCTTCAAGATTGGAGAGCTTAGACTTCCCTAGACTTCGGAGTGATACGTGATCTCTCCGCCGATTTACAAGATTTAAAAAGCTCTCAAGTGAACCGAATACCCCCATGACCTAAAATGGCTCTCTCATATCAAGCAAAAACGAAATGAGACATTCGGAAAATATGCAAAACAACTTGAACATTTTACATTGAAAAACAACGAATGATAATTTCAATCGAATTTATTTTTAACGAAACTATTTATTTTTCACCTGGTTTTTTGTTTTTTGCTATGAATTCTATTCACTTTTTATTTACATTTTGTTATGGGCTCAAGCTACGTAAGCTACAGTTTTTCTTTATCTAATATTATACCCCTACTAAACCCAAAAATTATGTATGAAAACAAAATTTGATTTTATATAAAGAATTGTCAAACATATGTTTTATGGTTATATATTTTATACACAAACATACACACAAAAACAAAAGAGGATCGAAAATTTATTCGCGCTAATACACAAAAGATTAATTGAAAACCTCAAAAGCATACCAAATAATATAAAAGAGGACCAATATTATAAATATGAGATATAATTGTTGTGCTATTTTATGAATAAACCTAAACTAAAATCGAAAACAAACTGATGAAACTCCAATATTGAAAAGAGATGTAAAAAGTGAAAATGTAGATGTAAATGTTCGCTCAATGTCGATAGAAATTGAACTGCTTGCACTGCTTGGCGGATGTAAAATTAATATTACATCGTGTAGAAGTAGACGGGGAATGAATGCATCTTACAAATGCGTATTACACATGTGTAAATTATGTGTAAAGTTCCATAATATGCATATTTAAAAGATATATTACTCTTTTGGAAAATGGTATTCACCCGATCCCGAACGTAATAGTTCCTTTAAGTATGTTGTTCCCACTCTATATACATTTATATCTGGAAATAGCCATGTCGTTAACAATGGATGGGGACAAAGCGATGGATCCTGATCCCCCTATGTACAAACAATCCCGAATATCCCCCTGGAATCCCAAACCCAATGCCAGAGGTTGAGGCTAACTATTTAAGGCTTTATTCTACATGCTATCTAATTCATTCACATATTTCTCTTACATGCCTTGCGCTCGTTTGTTGGCTATATAATGTAAAATATGACTTATCTATTAATGCAGTTACATAGTTTACATGCTTACTGCCAGCAAAAGTTGTTGCAAGTATACAATTTCCGAGGTAAGCGTTTCTCTCTATCTCATATCCCCTTGTTTGTGCCGTTCTGTTTGTTTTGTTTTGTGTCATTTCCGTTTGTTTGTTTGTTTGGTTGTCTCGCCCGTATTCGTACAAGTTTTTAGTTGCATTGCATGTTGCGTTTTACCCACTTAGCACCTATTTAAAATGCCAAAAGTCACTCATACGCCTAGTGGGGTTTCAGTTCAAATTCAGTGCGGCGCTGCATACTTTGGGGGGCCCGTAAAGGTGTACAAACCAAACCCCCTGCTGCAGACCCTGGAGTGCTGTCTCCGCAGTTTTTCCGCCCCATATATCGTCTCCTATTCTTTATCTAAACAAATCGTTTGGGTCGATTCAGCGCTGCAGCGCCTACGTTTAGTGTACTTTAAGCCCTCGACGGTATCGGTTCAGACGGGGCAGTATCTTTCGTACTAGGATTCACATATATACAGTTATATATGTCTGCCACGGGTTATCTTTACAGCACCCCGTAATAATATAATCGTGCGAATAATTCGCACTGGACGGTATCTAAAGTATGGCCCACAGATACGAAGCAAATCGATTGCAGCGCTCCAGTTCGTTAGATTGTTTCGATCAAAAACCAGGGGTAAGCGGCTCATTACCCATATTTGCTCAAGTGCTTCCCCTTGTATACAAAATCGGTTCTTGGAATCCCGTGAGAATTTATAAAAATCGGAAAGGCTGATAACGTCTCAAGTATGTTCGTAAATTTATTGAAGGGGCTAAAGAATGTCAAAAATTAGCAAAAGCGAATCAGTTCGTTTTTGGTTAGCTATAATTTAGTTGTCTTTCAGAGAGACACACGGATCAATCAAGAATATTTATTAATTATTCCAGGTAAAACTAAACATTTTTTTATTGTGACATTCGAAAGGTGACCTAAAATGTGCCAAGTTTGCTATTCTTCAAAACGGCTAAGCTATGGATTAGCTTAACTTATCTGACTTTTAGCTTATAGGTACTTCCCAGTTCCAATAATTTGAGATACTCTGCATTGGGTGGTTCTGTTCACCTGTGGCTTTAAATTCCTTATACCGAATTCTCGTTTTTTCTCAGTTGCTATTATTTTTGATTGAATTTCGCTGTAAATTATAATTAAATTTCGATATTTTTATTTATTTTCCTTAATTTGCAAGCCAGCCTTTGTTTGAACTAACTGACATTCATGCGATCCATGCGCATTCTTCTCTCTTTCTCTCTCTGTCATGCACGCTTTTGATGCTTTCTCGCTCGCTCGCCATGCCACGCCCACCTCATCCCGCCCCACAGATCAACGAAGCTCTTGAATTGGCGCTGCAAGCCATCGATCGCGAGGCGACAACCGAGCCAATGGACAAGGCACAACATCCAGAGGAGGAGGAGGAGGAGCAGCAGGAGGAGTTGGGGGGACAGCCAGAGGAGGAGGAGGAGCAAGAGGATCAGGAGGAGACGGAACAAGAGTCCCACGAGGACTCCCAGGGGGAATCACACACCGAGGGTGGGGAAATGCCAAATAAAACCGATGAGCAGAAGCAGGGGGAACGAGAGCCCATCTACGAGAATGTCAGCTCGACTATATCTATGCATGAAGTAGATAATGAACAGATAGCAGCGATGACGATAACCACACAGACCCAAGCGACGCGGAGGAGTCACAGGAGAAGCATTCCAAATAAGCAGCCCAGCAACAATAACAATAACGAGAATAATCAAAGCCCTAATCAAAGCAACAGCAGCAGCAATCAAAAAGAGAACAGCATGGCAGCAACTTCAGCCACCCCCGTGCCACCAGCAACACCTGGGGATGTGGAGCCCTACTACCAAGTGCCGAAGGCCACGGAGCCCTACTACGACGCCCCGAAGCATTTGAGACCCGTGCCCGTCTACGAGAACATCGAGATCTTCTACTCGGGCCTGGAGATCGGTCAGGGATCAGCGGGACCGGGAGCGCCGCTGGTGGGACTGATGGAGCCGCCCAAGGAGAAGCCACCGCCACCGCCCACCGAGAGTCCGCCGCCGATTCCAGCGGACGACGGGGGCCACGACGACGAGCTGGACGGCCTGGGCAGCAGCCTGGGACACAACACCGACACCTGGTCGTCGGACAACACCTACGAGACCATTTCGAACGGCACTCGCCGGCACCTTCAGGGACAGCTGGAGCCTGCCCAGCCATCGCCGCCCATCAAGCGGATGAACTCGACCAAGCGGATCAAGAAGGAGCTGCGCAACAAGCGCTCCAGCTTCCTGGGCATCGAGACCGACGGGGATTTGGACGACATGGAGACCTACCTGGAGCTCACCGTGGCCCCGCCGCCGGACATGGCGCAGCTCCTGCAGGAGGAGAGGCGTCTGGAGAAGCAGCTGTACATCAAGGCGGGTCTCTGCGACAGTTCCGACACAGGTAAGTCGATATATTGTCTATTAGAATAACGATGGGTGGGCGATGAGAAAACCGATACCGAAAGCCAACAGGGCATAAAAACGAAAGACGATAGCAATGAGCAAATCACCAGCTGGACGGGGAAGGGTGCCGACTGGGCCAGAGGGTAAAAGGTGGCCCCCATCTGCCCCAGCGAGGTTAAGTATAAATAATCCGTTTAGTGTGCGTGGCCCACGGAGCGGTCGCAGCTCTGCTGAGATGCTTCCCCATTCGGCTGTTGAACTAAATTCAATCGGTTTGTTATACTTTACATGTACTGGGATCAGATTTGGGATCGAAGCACCTATAGCTGAAAAATATAGGATTTATTTAAAGTCAGAAGGGAACCGTATGGGTTGGGTTAGCACTGCAATGCTTCTCAGAAGTAGTTACGTTTTTACTAGAAATCATAGATGACCAAGGAATTTAAAATTCCATACAGCATATACAGCATACAGGAAGAAATTTGTTGGAAAGAAATTCTGCTTAGACAATTTACCTCGATGGACGGTGTAAATTAAATTCGTTTCGAGTGCTCCAATTAATCTGCGTTCTCCAAAAAGTTCCCCGACGCAAGGATTCTGAGCAGCAGGACCTCAAAGTTTTTAAAATGCCAAAAATGGCAACTTTCAACTTTAATTCAATAAAATATTACCAGGATAAGATAAATTACATCAACATACCTTTAAAAACGAAGGGCGGGAACAATACTACTATTTTGACCGCGACTGTATGTATTTAAGGGAGGGATTAATAGTTGATTAACAGCTGTACGACACAGTAATTTATCTTTGGAAGACCTTAAAACTTTTGCCAAAGTTACAAAATCGAACTAACATTGTTATCTTAGCGAAAGTAACACAGTAATACTTAAATATAATCCCCTCATTTCGCTTATTCTTTCCCAAGGTGAAAGTCGCGACTCCGGAGTTTCTGAAAACCATTCCCGTCAGAGCAGTGAGCACTACACAAACTCCTCTGAGGAGAACGACACGCAGTCCGAAGCCACGCCCCCACCGCTGCCTCCGCCCCCGTCGTCCACCCAACTGGGCGAAGTCATCTACCAGAACGAGAGCCTCCTGGCTGCCCAGACACCTCTTCTCCAGACAGTCAAGGGCAACTCGGCCGAATCCTGGACGGAGTCGGCGACGGCGGCTGCGGCGGCCACCCAATCGCTGAGCGAAGCCACGGCGACGGCCAACGCCAAGATGCAGTCCATCGAGGACAAGATCCGGGAACAGGGCGAGGTGCTGCGGGTGGAACGGGAGCTGCTCCACTTTTCGGTGAGTACAATAAACTTATCAATATAATAGGTATACAACCCGACCAATTGAATTCTTAATTTGACCAATAAAATACGTAGTCACTATCACAACAACAACTGTTTTATAGTCGTTTTTAAAAGTTGTTTTATAGTTACCTAACTATTCGTATTGGTCAATTTTACTTTAATAATTAGCAACCCAAGACAAAATTAAAAGTTTCTACATGTAATAGAGTCCTGCACGAAACAGCATTTTTCAAGAAACATTTTTTACAAAAGGGTTGGAATGATTCGAAACATCAGATTTATAGATAAATGCCATAATAAATTTTTATAAATAAATTAAAGATGTTTATGTGCCATCCTCTTCTGAAGGCCATCCATTTCTAAAAAATTCGCGGTACTTATATTTTATCTATTTATCAAAACTTTTTTGAAAAATTTAATGCAACAAATAACCGCTGTTGGGAAAACCAGAAACAGAAACCATTCGATTGAACCGTTTTTGAAATTCAAATCTCTTATCCTTCCACAGCAGGAGGAGTTGAAGCGGCAGCGCGAGAACCTTCTGCTCCGCGAGAATCTGGCACGTCGAGAACTGCAGCACGGAGCAAAAATGCTAATGTCGAACAACCGGCGCTCTCTGCAGGATCTGCACCACGGCCTGGGCATCGGCAACGGCATGCTGAGTGCCTTCCAACCGCCGCAGCATATCCAGGCGCCCATGCCGCCTCCACATCCGCAGCAGATCTACGCCAATGTGCCGCAGCAGCAGCAGCAACAGGCGGCGATGTATGCATACCACCAGATGGACACGGACTACCGCAAGTCCATGTCGGATCTGAACGAGTTCTCCAACCGCCTGATGCTGCCACCCACGCCGCCCACCAAGCCGTTGAGGGCGATGCAAATGAACGCCAATGGCCATGGCCTGGAGCCGGACTATGCGGTTAGCACGAGGCAGCGCCAGCCGCCGGTTCCCTATGGCGGATCTCTGGTGAAGATCGCCGGGGCGCCAATGCCTCCTCGGATCCCTGGTCCCGGATATCCCGTTCAAGCGTCGGCAGCCGCCGCCTACCATCACCAGTCGGCTCAGAACCTGAGCAATATGTCCAGGAACACCTTGCTCGCCCTGAGCGCCACTCCCAAGCCCAAGTACACGGACGGATGGGTGCAGGTGCAGCAGCGCAAGAGCTACGACCAGGCCAGCGATCCGGCTTGGCTGTCCGCCCAGCAGCAGAAGCGCAAGTCCATGCCGGACTACGGCGGAGCCCTGTACAACAACAACCACTGGCTGCTCCAGGAGGCGGAGCAGCGGCGGATCGAGCAGCTCAATCGTCGCTCGATGCCGGCCAGCAAGTCGAAGGGCAAGCCGCTGCCCGACTCCATCATCCAAACGCTGACGGAACGGGTCCAGAGCAAAGGCATCGGCGATCGAAAGCGGTGAGTAGCCAAGGTCGATTCGATTTGTGCTAGTGTTGGGTAAAACTGCTCATTTGGGTGAACATGTTCACTTGTTTTTTTTTTCCCCAATGAGTCAACTCACTCAGTTTGCTCACTTGTTTATTTACATGTTCACTTGATCAATTGTTCACTTGTTCACTTGCTCTCTTGTTCACTTGTTCTGTCCTTAACTTTTTCACTGGCTCTGAGAAAGCAGCACATTGTCTGTAAACCCGTATGCAAAATGCATCCTAAAAGTAAAAAAAAAATCTTTTTGTGCCAAAAACAGCAAGAGAGCAACTGAGCGAGTGAACTAAAAAGATCAAATAAGAGAGCAAAACTGAACAAGTGAACAAAAAAGAGCGAGTGAGCAAAAACGAACAAGTGAACAATAAAGAACAAGTTCGAAGGAACATGTTCACTCACTCAGTTTAGTGAGCCACTCTTTTTTGTTCACTAACTCTTGAGCAACCCAACACCAATGTGTGCTATCGTTATAACCAATCTCTCACCAACAGCTTCGATGGCAACGGCAACTACAGCCAGGTCAACGGCAACTCCAATGTCTACCAGCAGCAGACGCAGCAGCAGCAGCAACAGCAGAAGACCAACATCACGAACGGCAGCAGCAGCCAGGAGAAGGTGCTCAGCGTCAGTGGCAAGAAGAAGTGCTCCCATTGCGGCGACGAATTAGGTAAACTTTGCTACTACGTTGGTTGTGAGTGTTGCGTTATTCTTTATTTCCCGAAACCCCACTTCTATATCGTTCATCGTTGAGAACATCTTCTAGGCTTGTTGTCACAGCGAGCATCACAAGAATAACACGCACTCGGACTCACTAGTGTTCTGTCGATCATCAAATGCTTTCCTCCTTCTTGTACCTGTATATTCTTTACCAATAAGTTTCTATATCTCACTTACATGTCTGAGACAGATCTGGGCTGCACGCACGACAATTGTCGACAAGTGCACAAAGCGCTCAAATATATTGTTTGGGTGTAATTTTAAAAGACTTAATTAACGTAGTTAAATCATAACTAAGCGAAATTTTAATATTTAAGGTATTTTATGGTGATGGTTTTTATAATACTAAAAAAAAATCTTGGGATCGGAACGTAAGATTTGTTAAATTGGAAAAATATTAGTTTGAAATTTAATTGAATGGCTAAATAAGAAAAATAAAATAGTTTTCCGCCCCACGGTTTTTTATTACTGTGCATCTACAATAAATTTCTGTAACTAATTTTCAAACTTGCTCATTTCGAACAGGTCGCGGCGCTGCCATGATCATCGAGTCGCTGCTGCTCTTCTACCACATCAACTGCTTCAAGTGCTGCGTCTGCCACGTCCAACTGGGCGATGGCCTCAATGGAACCGATGTCCGGGTCCGGAATCACAAGCTGCATTGCCAGAACTGCTACTCCAGCGATGATGGCATCAAGTTCAGCTGCGTCTAGCTGAATCCTTGCCAAGGAAACGGAAGTCAATTCAAAGTCGGAAGTGGGGGTTGTTGTTGTTCTTGTTGCTATTGCAACATTGATTGTTGTTGTTGTACTAGTAATATATAGATACTAACTACTGACGTAATTCGCATATACACTGCATACATATATCCATGTTGAAAACAAAGTCAAAAGCAAAACGTTTCAGATTAGTGTTAATCGCTTCTATATAAGTACGAAATTTTTTGATGTCTGCATTGCTTTTTGACTCAGATTTTAACTTTTTATATACGATATTCTACATGTTTGAAAATCCGACGTTATACATACATACACACAAAAAAAAAACTTGGTAAAATCAACTGTAATAATTGTCAAACAGGCCCCAACCAGCAAAATTGTCAATTCTACTAAGTAAATTGTCATTTCACAACAACAAAATACACACCATTAGCAAAGGCACAAACCCAAAGCAAAAACAAAATACACGTAACTATTTTAATAGTTACGTAACTAACTTTGTTGGTCAATTTTACCAAGCAAATTTTTTTGTGTGTATGTAAAAGCCAAGCTCTCTGAAAGTTTACGCCAAGTGGAAGTAAAATTTCAAAATGCGATTTAAATGTGTGTTGAAGATTACTAGACAAAAATATAAAACAAAAAAGAAAAAATTTCTATGAACGTTGTTAAAATTTTGAAATTGTATATTGCCCACATATATATGTATATCTACAGACATATAACAAATTGTACATTATTTTATACCAATACTGTCGTTTTCTCTTTTCGCGTACGAGTTTTCGGTCGCTTCTAAATCTAACGTTACTGTGTTCTATCTTTACTACACGCCTCAGCCCACATAAAATACCTAACGACGTATCCAATGTACCTAAAATTATATACAAATACCTATCCATACGCAACACACTAACATAAGAACATATTATTATATACCTACATACTACATGAGATGTGCATATAACGTGAATGATTTAATTTCTAATTGTCGTTATTCTTATTTATTGTAATTAAGCATATGAATCAAAAATATGTATATTCTATACACTTCTTGAATTTTATCATTAACTTTTAAACTTGATCGGTATATGAATATTTTTTCTGTATAAATACATCAAAGAATACATTTGAATTTCGCTTAGTTATAAAATAAAGTATTTCAAAGATGAAAAATCTGGCTGTTTCACACTCTTTTTTCAAGGGAAATAAGCAGACATCTTAACAACTATAACTTTTATGAATAACACTAAAAAAAAAAGAGGTAAGATAGCTGTGCTTTTAAATGGCTTCTACTTGAGGAAAATTTCAACAGGAGTTGAAATGCATGTGTTGCCAAGTCTTGCCAATAAGGTCATAACCTGAAGCATGGTAAAATTATACAAGGTGGTCTCGTTAGCAGTCTGTTAACAATACTCACAGCAAGGACGAGAATCCTCTCAGTTCTGCGTAGTAATTAAAAGAGTTAAAGTGGTTTTTCCCCTTTCTTTAAAATTCTATGAAAACCAAGAAAGCTTTGGCTTCGGAAACACTAAAAAAATTAAAATTCCAGAGTAGAAACGAATACAATAAAAACCAAAGAACCTATAAGAACTATAGCGTTCTCTCTTGTTTTTCCAAAAAAGTTGAAACGAACTAAAATTAAATGAATTGTCTCATGCTGGTGGTATCGGTAGGAAAGTTATATAAAAATTTGAATATCTGTAACAGTATTACAAATAAAACATATTTTCTATAAATCCCAGATCCTAACTTTTAACCAACTTGTTTTTTGTATATTTTAATACACAATGGAACATCCAAAATTTACCTCGATCGATGCTATATTTTTGAATTCGTTACGAATTCCTAAGTTAAACTGCGTTTTTCAAAAAGTTCCCCGACGCAAGGATTTTTAGTACAAGGACCTTAAAATTCGAAAAATGCTGAAATTGGCCCACTTTCCGAAGGTATCACAGGCAATCGGATTCATGGTAAAGTTTTTTAAAAGGTACACTCTTTATCTTTCAAACCCCATACTAAGAATAATTTAAGGATTTTTTTGGAAGGGAAAAACGAATTCAAGAAAACATAGTCAAAAAACATAAAAGCATACAGCTGCGTTCAAAATAGTAGTAGAGTTGCCGCCCTGTGTTTTTTAAAGTTTGTTGTTGTTATTTATATTTTTCTGGTGATATTGTATTGATTACACAGGCCGACAAAATGTGACATGGGTCGGTGTCCAGGCCTGCCACCATTTTATTTCGATAAATGAGACTTTTCTAAGCATAAGTTGCCACTACGCCTATAGTCCATCAGCTCTGGTATTTGCGGTATCTTTAATTTAAGAAAATCACAAATTTTCTTCGTCTTTTGTGATATATCTTCAAGAGTGGTCAACCAATTTTGGTAATCTTTTCGGAATTAAATAGTTACATGTCTCTTTTATACGGTCGTTTTGGAAAATTCAATCTAACTGAACCACAAGAGAAGGTGGGCGCATTTAAAATTTTAAAGTCACAGCAAAGTTAAAAAATCCTCATTTGTGAACAGCATTTAAAAATTAAATAAAAATATTTTCTTCTACAATGCATTTTTGATCCAAAGACACCTTATGTCCCTAATTTTTAGGACACTCATCAGGCTTTTGTGTATTGTTTAGGAATTTTTAAAATTGTTTTTCTTACTTCCTTCACAGTGACAATTCACAAACAGTGCCCAAACCTGTCACAATTTTAAATATCATAATTCTAAACGATCTAAGTAGTTTTGCTTTGAGTATAAGCACATGAGCGTAGCCTACTAATCTTTGGGGGCTGAAATGCTTGAAGTGTAATCCCCCTCCAGCTTTTAGCTTACGCCCATGTATAAATATTTTTAAAGCAAGGGTCACTTGTGCTTAAAAACAGTTATGAGTTACGTAAAATAGTGACAGGTTTGGGCACTGTTTGTGAATCGTCACAGTGAAGGAAGTAAGAAAAACAATTTTAAAAATTCCAAAACAATACACAAAAACCTGATGAGTGTCCTTAAAATTAGGGACATAAGGTGTCTTTGGATCAAAAATGCATTGTAGAAGAAAATATTTTTATTTAATTTTTAAACGCTGTTCACAAATGAAGATTTTTAAACTTTGCTGTGATTTTTAAATTTTAAATGCGCCCACCTTCTCTTGTGGTTCAGTTAGATTGAATTTTCCAAAACGACCGTATAAAAGAGACATGTAACTATTTAATTCCGAAAAGATTACCAAAATTGGTTGACCACTCTTGAAGATATATCCCAAAAGACGAAGAAAATTTGTGATTTTCTTAAATTAAAGATACCGCAAATACCAGAGCTGATGGACTATAGGCGTAGTGGCAACTTAGGGGCTGTCCATATATTACGTAATCACCTAGGGGGGGGGAGGGGGTCATTGAAATGATTATGTTTGATTACATGGGGGGGGGGGTCTTGTACAATGATTACGTAATCATTTTATATTAATTTTTTTATTTAAAGAATTTATTTAAAAACTTTTTTCCTTTAATTATATCTACAAACCAGGGACCAAAAATAAGTGTTATTGTAAATTTTTCATACAAAAAAATCAAAAAATAACAGTTATTCCTTGAGTTTTACTTTACAAATCAGAAAATAACTGTTAAAGTGTGATTTTTAAAATAAAACTTATAACAGTTACGGTCCCTGCTACAAACTTAAATAGGAAAGCAAAGAAAAAATTTTTGTAGTGGCTGGGCGGCGAAAAAAATAATGTTTAGTGGTTCAATCACACGAAGGACGCGAAGATCTGGAATGGCTTGACGAAGAGTATGTTGGGGATAATATCAGCGTAGACAAACCGAATGTGTCATACCAAACTTCATTTATAAACAATATTAAAGATTGGGTTGCATCTCCGTTTGAATCCACAAATTAAAACAAAAAAATTTTATTCTGGGGATTACGTAATCATTGGGGGGGGGGGTTTTATTGAATGATTACGTTTGATCACCAGGGGGGGGAGGGGGTCAAAAATCACCAAAAACGTGATTACGTAATATATGGACAGCCCCTTATGCTTAGAAAAGCCTCATTTATCGAAATAAAATGGTGGCAGGCCTGGACATCGACCCATGTCACATTTTGTCGGCCTGTGTTATAATTGTATTATAAGACTAATTGGACAAAAAAAGTTACAACAACAAACTTTTACAAACTTCAACAATATAGCATTCATCGAGGTAAATTTAAAAAGCATTAATTTTGTTGCACAGTGTAATCAATGTTAAACTTGGTTGTTTTTTCCTTTAATTTATAATATTTGTGTCCACAATGCCCTAGCTAACTCTTACGATAAATTGCAGTCGATTGTCACTCAGTTTAGCCAGGTCAAAACCTGGATCTAATAGATCAGTCGACTTAAAAATTTCGGAAAGAGCAAACTATCAGTTCTGAATGATCGCAATAAGTTGTTGGTGATGCACATTTAGGAGATGCGAGAGATGCAGTTCATCAGCATTAAGGGCCAAGAACAACTTAGCCCTGAGCTGGACCAGGGCTAGCTATACAAGCTATAGAACAGAGTCAGAGGGAAAACTATAAGTGGCAGATGCTTGATTACATGGAGGTCATCGATTAAGCAGGTTAACGGCGAGGCTGATGCGGAGCGACTGCTGTCCCAACTCAAGAACGAGAATTTCCCCTTTTTAATTATATCAACGAGCTGAGTCTTGAAGAAGAGGTGCTGAACTACAGGATGAAAATAATTAAAAATCTTTTGTGATGGCTTTTTGGGAACTAAACACAAAAAAATTTGCTTGGTAAAATTGACCAACAAAGATAGTCACGTAACTATTAAAATAGTTACGTGTATTTTGTTTTTGCTTGGGGTTTGTGTCTTTGCTAATTGTGTGTATTTTGTTGTTGTGAAATGACTATTTACTTAGTAGAATTGACAATTTTGCTGGTTGGGGCCTGTTTGACAATTATTAAAGTTGATTTTACCAAGTTTTTTTTTTGTGTGTAATTATGTTCGCCCAATAATTACTAATTGGTAATCGCTTTATAGACTTTTCCCAAGCTTCAGTGACAACCCTCTAGGGAGAGGAATCAATTAATTAAGAAAGTTGTCAATTCATTCAGAATAAATACAAACACTTTCCGATTATCCATATACGATACACATTTTTGGTTTTCTGGCAGACCGAGGAGTTTATTATCCAGACCCGTTGATAGAAAACACAATCCAATACAATCTGAATTTACAATTTCGCCCTTAGTAGATATCCCCACTTCACCATCAAACGCCCTTCTAGGCGGTGGGCAGGAAGGTGAGCTTCTCGTTGAGCTGCAGCTGTGTTTTGATGAGCTGGGAGAGCGTGATGACCAGCAGGAGGTTGCGCACGTTGGCGTTGAACATTTGGGTGAACTGCTCGTGGGTCATGTGCGGCACGGAGTGGATGAGGTCGAGCAGCTGGCGGCCAACAGCGTTGTCCGGGGTCACCTTGTGGGCGATCACGTCGTCGACGTACTTGAGGATCAGGTCCAGCAGGGACTGCAGCTTCGTGGAGGCCTCTGAGATCTGGGCCAGGTCCAGCATGGGCGGCACGGTCTTGGGCCGATGGGCGGGCGACACGCCCACGGTCTTCTGCAGCAGCTTGAGTCCGAAGGTCTCCGGCTCGTAGCTGGTCAGCTCGACGGGAATGGGTGTGAACATGCAGCCGCTCTTGCCGCCGGGCACTCCCAGCTGTATGCAGACGTAGGCGCGGAGCCCCATGCGTCCACCCTGGAGCGAGGTGTCCACGGTGAGATGCACCGGGTTGTTGCACTCGCGGGCGTAGTACTCGTGGATCACAGAGCTGTGGTTCGTCACGTCGTTGCCGGTGGCCCACCAGCCCACCACGCTCTCGTTGGAGTTCACCTTGCGGTTGAGGTCGTACATGTCCAGGGCGTAGCTCAGTTCCGCCTCCACCTGGTCGTCGTGCTCCTTGTGCGGCACACAGAAGCAGTTGGTCACCTCCACCACCCCCTTGTCCACTGAGCCGAGCAGCGTGCCGATGACGCGGTGCGAGTCCGCGTTCCTCCGCTCGAAGGCGTCCACCACCTGGAAAAGCACCACCGGGTGCACGCGAACGGTCAGATTGAGGGCCGACATTGTTGTTCCTGCTGGCGAAGATTTGCAAGGGAAATTTCCGCAAAAATTTCTACTCAGCCACGCTGCGAGTATGTGTTAGGGATGCAAGAAAGGGTTTATCGATAGTGCGGGTGGCGGGCGATGGTTTTTCGCCCATCGACCGGGGGCTTATCGATAGCGGCCAGCCGAAATATCGAGTGTGGTAACAATTGGTCGTGTATATCGATAGGGCGCGGGTTTTAAAATTTATTTACAAGCATTTGGTAAATAATTCGGTTTCACTACAAAGTTAAAGAAATCGTATTTTCTCTGTGTAAACGGACATTACAGTTTTAAAAAATCGTGGACATTTAGTCAACTAAACCCTTTGTAGCCTAGAGCTACTTTGCTGAAAAATTACATTTAGGCCTGTTCTCTCGACCTCAAGTTAAATTTAAAGTGGGGTTAAAACCTTAAGAATGTATGGGAATAAAGAGCTTGCAGAATTCTTTCAATTTAACATGCGGACGAGAAATCTGCCCTTATGTTATATAACCCATTAACCCTATTTACTGATTTCCTATGTTCAATAATTCAAACAACTTCACAATCAAATTGGGCAAGTAAACCGGAAGAAATTAAAATAAGATGACACTTCTTTACATATAAACAAATTTTTTATTAAATACGATTTTTACATAATGCACTCTTAGCATAAATACGCTTGGTATTGTATTTGTATTTCTACTTGAGATTAGCCCTTCTAGAATCGGGCTTGATCGCTGGCATTCCATGCACGTAATTTACGCTGGAACAGATCCTACCACACTTCGCATTTCTGAACCGGATTCATGGGCGAACCCTCCGGACACTGGAAGTCCTTGGCAAAGTCCTTCATGTTGCTGAGGGAACCAAGAACGCGGAACTCGGATGGTGAGTGCACGCCGGTAGTAATACGCATCTTGAGAGATTCTAAAGGGATAACACGCATTTAGTATGAATCTTTACCGAATTAAGGTTAGAATTTTTCACACCTAATGAAACAACTAGTATTAGATGTTTCTTAACATTTTCCTACCTTTACGGTATTTAGCACACCAGGTTTGGCCGGCTGCCAGCCAAAACATCTGCTCCGGGGTGTAGTCCAGGCCGGGAAGCTTGGGCTCCGGTCCGTGCTTCTCAACCCATCTTCGGTAGGCGATGTACGACTCCTTGACGCCACCGTTATCGGCGATGTTCTCACCCTGGGTGTTGATGCCGTTCAACTGTCGAGAAAGGAAACTTTAGGTCTTGTCCGCCCTTCTGAGAAGAATCTCTTACGTTCAGGCCCGTGGCCCTCTCGGTGTAGTTGCCATACTGCTCGATGATGCACTTCGCCTTGGCCAGATAGGCCTTCTGGGTATCCGGCTGCCACCAGTCCCGCAGATTGCCCTTCACATCGAACTGGCGACCCTGATCGTCAAAGCCGTGGGTGATCTCGTGGCCAATCACGTAGCCAATGGCGCCAAAGTTCATATACTTGGGACGCTGGGCATTGAAGAAGTGTCCCTGCAGGATGCCAGCCGGGAATTCTATAGAAAATTGGAACAGGTCAGGGAAAACCATTCTATAAGCTTTCTGAAGAGATGTAGAATGTCTTACGAATACTGTTTTCCAGGGAGGAATAGAAGGCGTTCACGATCGCAGGACGAGCGTGGCGCACCCAGTCCGTCTTGTTGACCGGCAGGCGCAGCTTGTTGAAGGAGTAGTCCGTGCCGAAGATGTTCATGCCCAGGAAGGACTCGAAGTACTTGTCGGGGTCGATGTCCAGCTTGGCGTAGTACGCGGCCAGCTTCTCGTTGTCGAGCATCTCGTCCGGATAACCGATGTGGGTGGCCATGCTGTGCAGCTTCTCCTTGGCCTCCTTCTTCGTCTTGGCGTCCATCCAGTTGACCTCGTCCAGAATGTCGTTGAACACGCTGCGGATGTCGTCGACCATCTCCAGGGCATTGGCCTTCGAGTCCTTGTGGAAGTGCTTGCGGACGTAGAGCGATCCCACGGATATGCCAAGGCTGGGATTCGATTTGATAACCGATTGATTAGATGGCGCGTGGTGGCGGTTTCGATTCAATGTGATGTCGGTTGTTGGAGGTTGTTGAGGTGTGCAGATATTAAAATGGTGGGTTGAAGAGTTGGCGTGAAAGTGAAACACAAAATGAACATGCATATTAGGACAGAAGATTGGGATCTGAGTTGATCGGATCGAAATGCTGCGAGCACAGTGTGCGATAGAACAAAGTGGGGGGACTTGATCAAAGTGCACACTCGCATAGATGATCACCTTTCGACTAATGATTACCAATGTCCATAATTATGGCCTCTTACCAAAAAACCTTGACTACCACTTGACCTTAAAATATTCCACTTTAATGCATACCAATTATGTAAAAAAAATGTAATGGTGGATTTGCTTAATGGTTCTCTAAAATGATGATTAAGTCGACTTCCCCGAATATGAGATACCGCTTCTAAAATGTACTGCAAACACCTTGCTTCCCTAATTTTATACACTTTTGCCATTAATGACCTTGCAAATGACTATTACAAAGATATATGTTACCTTTGGGAAATTTGAAATGAAAATGAAATCCGGTAAACAGTAATAATTTCTTACTGATTAGAGGAAATATGTCAAGAATTGTCCACAATAAATATAAAAAAAAGTTCGACGAACCAATTCTTATGAAGTTTGAATTGAAAGTGATAAATTATTATAAACACATTTATGAATTCACCTAATAAGTTTATGTAATACCAATTTTTATCTTTTCGAACTTTCTTTGAATTCCTAACCAATTATTTGAGTGACCAGTTCCAAATCGATCAAAATTATATGACAAATCGGTTTTTAAGCATGCGTGTGTTTTGTTTAGTGTGTCCTTTGACTGTGCATGATATGTGTGTGTGCTTTTTGTTGTGCGTGGGTTAGTTGCTCATTTTTCAAGACAACGTTAAATGCATTTCTCTAAATAAGTACCTATCGAAATCTTCTTCGGATACTTCATCCATGCTGCAAAATCACAAAGAAATCAAAAGAAGATACAGAAACAGGGCAGAGATACGAGATAGGAGATACAGGCAACCCTTGATGACCTTGACCCTGGGATGGGGTGATGGTGACCCCCACTAACCTGCCGGTGGCGATGTCCACGCACTCCTTCCAGCGGGCCTCCTGCTCCTGGCGACCGGAGAGGGCGGTGGCGTACTGCAGCTGCCGCTTGCGGAACTCCTCGGTCAGGAATCCCACCGAGAACCCGTGGATGCGCCAGAACATGTAGTTGGCGATCACGCGCTTCGGCGTCTTGGCCAGCAGCTTGCCGAGGTCCTCGAAGAAGCTGGGCACCGACAGGTTGATCATCTCGTCCTCGGCCACACTCAGACCCTCCGGCAGCAGGGCGTTCATGTAGTCCACCCATTGGACGTAGGGATAGGCGGCCTGCAGCTGCGCGGGAGTCCTCAGATTGTACAGTTCCGAGGAGTTGCGACGCTTCTCATTTGGCCACGAGATCTACGGGAGAAGCTTGTGGATTAGTCGTGGACTTGGGATCACCCATATCTCATACTCACATTGGCCAGGGCAATCTCGAACTCCAGCGAGCTCAGCAGTTCCGTCTTGGCCAGATCCTTGTTGGCCCCGAAGAGCACGGCTATGTCCACCATATACTCGTAGTAGGCTGTCACGAGAGTCTCGTTGAAGCCCTTCACCAAGTACTCGCGACTCAGGGCAAGAGCCGACTGGTCCAACTGGAATTTAGGGAAATTATATTTATAGGGAATCATTTAAATATGAATTCATCAATGCTCACATCTATAAGACGCTTGGTGCTGTTCTGCAGATCCACTCCGATCGAGAAGTCGATGATGTAGTCCATGCTGAATCCGGCGGAGCGGAACTTCTTGACCTGCTCCTGCCAGGTCCAGCTGTCGTCTGCGTTCCAGGTATCTCCCTTGATCAGCGGCCAGCCGCCCAGCTTCTCAGCCACTCGAGTTATGGGCTCAGCCCCCAGCGTCTCGATAAGAGCTGAGTAGGAAAACAAACGATTATTAAAGTTCTCGAAAATTGTTATTAACTAAATGATGGGTTGGATATGATTCAAACTGAATACTTCTTGGTTATGTATACAATTCTAATCTTAAGCTTTTGTTAAGTATTTAAATTCTTTGCTAATGAAGTGAATGTCGTATTACACTACTCATGGTGAAACTAAACAAGGTGGTCTCGTCGCGAGAGCCGCCCTCTTTTGAGCACGTTATTTGTGCCAGTCTCTATCTAGCTATCTCATTCTATCTTTTAAGAGAGACAGAAAACGTATTTAACGTCCTCAGCAGAGCTGACGAGACCACCTTGTACAGTTCCACCATGACACTACTCACTCTTGTTCATGCAGGCCTTGTACAGCAGGTTGGGCAGTCGGAAGTGCTTGGGCTCCGATTCGGGTCGCTCCGCGGTGATGATGTCCTTCAGCTGCTCCTGCAGCTTGTCGGAGATCACCGAGAAGGTGCTGATCGAGACCTTGTCGTCGGGGATGTTCTCCTCCTCGAGGTAGGTGCCGCAGGCGAACTCGTAGAAGTTGTCGCACGGCTCCACCTCGGGCCTCATCTTCCGCAGCACCGTGGACGCCGTGTGGATGCACTCCTGGGTGAGGCACACCTCACTCGAGTCGCCCGCCTTGCCCTTCGAGGCCGTGCCCATGGGCACCTTGTTGATGGTGGTGCTGTCGCCGTGCAGGGCCGTGGCCTGCGGATTCTCCGGCGGACTGGCCGCCTTCAGGGCATCGCTTATCCACAGTCCGAATCCGGCGGCGGCTGCCACGAAGAGGATGCCGCTGATCACCAGCAGACTTCTTTCCAACTTGGTGCGACGACGCCACCAGTTGGGGTTCCTGTAGAACAAACAAGTAGTCAGGGTTAAAGCAAAATACAGAAAAAAAGCTTGCGTTGTGATGTGCTTAGTTTCACCGCAGCTTTCCGTTCCACTGCACATTTTTAATCCACACTACATGGCAGGAATTGGGTGCAACAGAAATAGATAGACATAATATAAAAAAACTAATGATCTTTAAATAATATCTAGACCTCAAAGCTTATAAGCTTTTTGAACTTTTGTTGGTGAACCTTTTGTGTTTTTATTATTACTTAACAATTTAACTGATTTGTATTACAGCATTTTGTTTATTGATTCTTAATACAAAAATATATAAATAAATTAATACAATTAATAATATTTTTTTATCTTTTTGTCCCAGCGGATTGCTTAGACCCTGAACGTGCTGCACGCTGTATGTAATTGTTGGCCAACTTCCGATTTCCCCTCTTGCCCCAGAGGCAGTTGAATTGCCAATTTATAGCCATAATTATTGTTGTTATTCCGCTGTTCAACTGGTTAAATTTTGAGCACACAAGTTTGAAAAGTCATTTTGGGCTTCGAACTCGTTACGACATTTCAGTATTTGTGTTTGGTGTTATTCGAGAGAGAACGCTTTTAAATGCCCACCCATTTCCGTGGTCAAAGCGTATGTAAGAGTATCTCAGCGGAATCGACACAAACAGTAGCGTAACAAAAATAGATACACAAAAAGAGCTGAGTTTTTGCACGCTTCAATTATTGTGAAAAGTTGTAACACAATAACGCCAAAATGATATTACGCCGGATCAGAGCGAAGATGCGTTTAATAGGCGATCAAGTCACGGGTCGTGAATAAATCCGTTTATGGCCAGCAAAGGGAAAAGGTCAGATCCGCTGGGCAGATCCACGGATCAGGCCTCGCCCCACTGGAAACCGTCATAGTTGAACATTCATCCAAACAAATACGCTCGAGTCACCACCTTCAAATCAATCATCCGGTTTAATGTAGCTGAACTTTTTCCCTAACGCTAATGACACAAAATCGCAAGCACCAAAAAAGTTTAATGACTAGACAGGTCATGATTAATACGCGTGTTCTAGGGATTCTTTAAATAATTCATATTTATTTATGCACGTACTTTGCACAGCGGATATGACCCATCTTCAAACAAACGAATTTAATATTTCTGAATATTTATAAAAAGTGCCTAATGGTACTTCTAATTTATTCAGGGTTCTTATTTTGGAACTGGAGTGTATTATCGAGTACTGGCCGGTTAATGAATTACACACCGGCAAAAACTCGCAAGAATTTCGACATTTCGTAAGATAAAGTAAAGTCAGTCAGCAAACCAGTTCCGTAAATGATTTAACCATTTTTTGGCCAGCGATTAATTGCACGTAATGACACGGAGTTTACAAAGTTGAACGACACTGCGGCTCGGCCTCAAATCGAAGTGCAGTCAATTCTGGATTTCCTAACACGGATGCGAAATAATGCCCGTAATAAAACCAGCTATCTAAATCTTAATATTCTCGTTTTGGCAATTGAACTGAATAATGCACCTAACAATATACCGAGTTCTTCTAAAAATAATTCCAGTGGATAGATTGGCAGACAGCATTACAGGCATTTCCGCCTTTTCTACATAATAATGTTAGTTATGAATTATAATTCATAAATTTGCAAGCTGTGGCATAAACTTCGGAGTCTTTTGGTAATTTATCTTCGAACAACTTAATGATGGTTTTCATGTTAAACTATAATTCCGAAGTTCCGAAAAAAAATAACAAAAAACATAAGCTGGGGAGGAAGATCTATCTGTTAGTTTTTGACGTGGGAGTAAACACGAATTTAACTTGATTGAATGCATCTTACTAATTAGTAAGCTTGTAAGTTTCCAGTTGTATAACCCGCTCGTAATCTCGGAGCTGCCAAATATGAGATATGACTACTGATCATTGCTCAGCACAATCCTAGCCAATTAAGTGAGTCTGGGGACAGATCGTGCCTCTCCTTTGCCCGTTTTATCGCAGGCGGAGATCACGACCTTCGGAGTTCCGGCGATCGGCAAGAATCCGCCTCGAATGATGCGATTCCAATTCCGATTCCGATGCCGATGGACGTGCTAAAGATGTGGCTACAGCCGGGGTGTCTTGGGTATCGCGGCGCACTCTCTCGGCTGTGAATACACAAGTGTTGCCAACATTATGTAAGTGGCCGGGCGGGCGAAAGGGGGATGGAACTGGGCCCATGTCAATAGGGCGGCCAGTTTGAAGCCCCGCTTTTGTCTGCGGACTGCGTTGCCCAATAAATGTGTCAAGTGCAGGCGGCGTGCCTCTGCCATTGACGTGGCACTGGCACCCTATTCGAACGTCACCGCCTCCCTGGGAAGGTAAATAAAAAACAAAACATACTGGCCTAATATGCACACGTGAAATCGCACATGTGTGCCGTGTATCTGTGAGCGGCTGTGCGAGTGACGTTTGGCAACTTTTACGTTTCAGTTTTTATTGTTTAGCTCTTAATATGTTTTTGATAGTTTTCGGTGTCCGTTGTCGTTGTTTTTATTAATATGCCAAGCCCTGATTGACAGCCACCCATTTAAAGTTTCGTTACCTCTTCTTCCCTGACCCAAAAAGCAGTTACTCCTGCCTCTTCGGCTCACTCGCAAATTGATGATGATAGCTATAAGCTAAGATTCCTCACGCTCAACGACTAAAACTAATTCGCAAATACTTTGCAATTGTCTATGTACTTAGACTTAGTGAGACACATTAGGGCTTAATATCTCTACTGCGGAACAGAAATAACCACACCACTTTACAGACATTTAAAAATAGTAAATCAGTTTTATTAATAGTGTAACTGCTTTAATCAGTGGCGGATCCAGGATTTGGTTGTGGGGGGATGTCAGAACAAACTTTTTTATTGACAATTTTTTTAATTTTCATATTTCTTTGAACTTTTCACACAATTGCGGGTATTTATCCCCCAAATCCCTAAAATTTCGACAGCTGGAAATCCCTTTCAATAGTTTGACTACTTTTAAAATTGTTCTTGTAAAAAGTGTTACTTTGAGTGCACTTATTTCAATTAATCACTTGCGGAAACTGATGTTCGACAGTTGACGGGCTCGTAAGATCGGTCAATCCAGCTGCAAAAGAATGCATCACGCTTTCAGTTGTAAAACTGACCAAAACATATTCGATCAGTTAGTGATTTAATCATTTTGCTGATTCCTTACGACGACACGTGCAACTGGTTGCCTCATTTTCCCAGTAGCCACTCGCCGCTTTTGCTGCTGCTGGGTTTTTCGTAATGCCCAAACAAAGTGCTACGACAAATTGCCTTTCAAGTGTTAATTTGTGCCACAGACACAATTACCTAATACATTTTAATTTCGTTGAGCGAGAGATGCGATGGCGATGGCGACTAAGATTCAGGCGTTACTTACTTGCCCGAATTGTTGATGCGCGCTTTTAATTGCCCCACGAAAATTTCGAGCAGTCTGTGATCTGGGATTCCTCTTAACTGAGCCCCACTGTCCGCTTTTCAGCTTGTGCACTCATTAAGAGGTCACGGACTGCAACTGAGATATATTTGGCAAGTGGATCCTAACCGGCTAATGCTAAAGTCCCAAAAAAACTGTTGACTTATCAATACAAATGTTAAATAAATAAGAAAGACTCTAAGGAAGAGATGTCAAGTTGTCGAAAAAAGATTTTGATTTGTGGCTAGTGTTAGTTCGGTATGATTAATACCCTCCATTTTATGATATATGACCTTTTCAGGGAACTGGGCTCTATTAACCACAGTGCAGTGGCAAAACGCCAATAAATTTCATTAGCTCGTGGGCTTGAACTTGGCTGGCCTAAGTGGATTTGCCGCGGCACGGCGATGAATCTTGGCCAAGGCGACTGTCCCGGAGCAACAGATGCAGCCTGCGACGACAAACCTTTGAAATCCACTTATTAGCAGGAAGAGGGCAATTTGCAGCAGGAAGAAGAAGCCAGCGACAATGCAATTTGCCCAGTGCCGTGCCACTTAATTTTCCACCTTTAATGGGGCTGCGGGCAGGAAGGAAGGCGGAAGAGCGGAAAAACGCTAGGCGCCACAGCTAAGGCAAACAAATCGCAGGATGGGATGCCCGATGAAGGGAATGGGTATGGGAATGCAAGGAGAGATGGGGCCACACTGGTGGGCGGGTGATTCAATGGCCGCGTGGAGCCACTGGCAAGGCCGAATGGCGGCGACCGCCGTGGTTGCCAGATGTCGCAAGGCTGAAGCAGCATTGCCATTGCAAATGGCGCCTTGCATGACAAACAAAATGGAAATGGTCAGAAAACAAAATTGTACTGGCGACTGATATCGACACACAATGGGCTCAAGTTCACTATTTAATATGCATTTAGCGTTACGAGTGTCGGCGAAATTTTTAACTCGCAATTTGACCTCAAGTATTGACTTATCAATAACGAAATTAAGTAATTTTTAATGCGAATACACAAAGAAATAAAGACCAGCAACTCAATAATATTACCTGTATTATTTACCGGCAAATTCCTTATTACCACCTGACTTGTGGCACGTTCCCGGGTTTCGTTAACCCCCAAAGCCATCCAACAATTGCGTACAATTTCCTTAAGAACTCGAAGTACTTTAGAGTCCCGAAGTCGCGACGATCAATCATCAGCCTGACAAACGCGCAAATTATTTTGATTTTATTATGTGCCAAATGAGTAATAAGCCGCTTACAGCAATCAAAGCCAGAAGAACGAGAACGTGAAAGGGAAGAAAGCCGAATAAAATACCGGACTATTACGTGAGCTACACGCTCCAAAATCTTCCCGCCTGCCTGAATTACGGCTGCCGTTGGCCTGGTTTTCATCGCCTCACGTGCGCTTCATGAGGAAGCGAGCAGAGTTACTCCAATACCAGGCCAAACACTCCCACTTAAACGATAAATTACTGGGGTTAATGTTAACAAACAACTGTCAAATATAATAACTCTGAGTTCGTTTGAAGAATGGAATTGCGGAAGAGATCAGGATAATTTGATTACCAAAACGTGTCGAATTGCACTGAAGAACCAAGTGTTAAGATCACAATTGATCAGGAAGACCGTTTTTACAAACAATTCGAACTTTCCCTTAAAAGGATTCCAATTTCTCGGTTTAACAATATTTTTATTTGCACCGATGATAAAACACCAACAAAATCAACGAAATCGAAAAAAATATAAATCTTTTTTATAACCCTGTTAGTATATACCCTTGAAGTTTCAAGTGAAAACTATTAAGCTTATAAGAGAATATTAAAAAGCAAAACAACGTAAGCCACAACGTCTAAAAAATTCACCATTGGACGTCATTTTTCAATCAATTGAATATCGTAAAAACTTAAAGTCCAGAATAGGTGGTCCCGCTTGCACAGAAGATAATAAGAAGAAGAAGAAGAAGATAATAAAATAATCTGCCATTTTTTTATGAAGAAACTCAAAGACCTAAGCTTCTTACCAGCATTCAGCTCACGAAAATTAGAATAAACCTGCGAGATCGAATCCGCTTTCTCCAAAAGATTTCGTTGGGCGGCGAATTGAAAATTCGACCAGAGAGAAAGTGCTTGCCCAACATGATTAGAATCCACTTGAAGCGCTTGAAGGCCAAACTCCGGCGATCTTGTCCCCAGAAATACATAACTCATATCATCGAGCGGTTTTTTTTTGCGTAACCCTCCAGTTTTCTTGGCAATAAAAGAGGGGAAAGGTCAGTTAATGCCGGAGGGTGGCGGAGTATCTGTAAACCGCAGAAGTTACCTTCAGCGGTGCATGGAAAAAGAAAACGAAAAGCCAAGAAAACGCAACCGCATGGCCAAGAAAACTGTGCTGACCATAATTGGAGTTGCACTAAGGTCTGCGTGCATTTAATTATGCAATTTGAGCAAATAGCTGCCCAGCTGTAAAAAACTTAAGCCCAAGCCCAACAAGAGAATCAACTATTCATATTCCGAAAGCGCTTGGTTTTTCGTTAAGTTCAGTTTGTGCCCCAAAAACCTTAAAAAAAAACTTTGAAAAATAAAGACATTCTGTATTAGTCAAATAGTAAAACCGGATAGGCATTTCTATCAAAGGTGTGACTTTGTTTTGTATTCCTCCCTTTTACGGGGGTCTACAAGACATTTTATGGTTGTTTTGACCAAATGCCGAGCCTCATGATTTATATCGACTTTGAGAGATATTCATATAAGACTGATCAGGCCACGAAGCATTCAAAGAAAGCAAAACAAGCGGGGTTACGCAATGCTGACCTAGAAAAATTCGCAAAGGCAAAGTTTACGAATATTTGACTACACCTTAATCGAATAAAAATAATAAAAGATAAATATGTGTTTTGTTTACCCTCAAAATATAAGTAGAAAACGTGATCGGCCTGAGATGTACACAGCTGATACGCCGAATCGGTGTGTTTATGCGGTTTCGATTATCCCAAGATTTTGGCCGAGAGCAAACATTTTAATTAACTTGTAAACAATGCCAGCAGGGTTGAGTCAATCCTGAGATTTGTAGAATTTCTTATCTTTAGCAAATATTCTTGTTTGCTTTCAAAACACAGCCATTGAACAAACTCAGTGCCATTGGCAGTACAATAGTTAAACTTTTAGGGTTATTTCGTAACAATTGGTATCAGTATACAATAGGTTTCCTACTCCACAGAACAATGAGCTGTGGGTTGTGGGAACCGGTAGTTATGCACCTTAAATGATTCCGGCTAAGCGTCCCTGCACAAAACATCTAATGGCAGGCCATACCACGGCAATAATGAAGTAGGAAACGCATTGAAGATTTCTCGGGTTCATCCCACAAAATTAAAATGATCATGCGATTGCAATTCAATTGCAGGGACACGCACAAATTGATCATTAAAAGTGTCATTGCAGATGAATGCATCCAAATTCATTGTGTTAGAAATCGTTGATTAAAGTGCGTTCCCCACTAATTAATCTCTCAGGCTCGTATCGTATGTGGAGCTTCCCAAAGACTTGGTTGACTGAACTCGATTAACACCGATCCCACTCAAAAGTGAACCTCGGCCAACTGAAACTCGTTTTCGAATATCCATCGATGCACCCCAAAATGTCAAGCAAAAGGCAGCCGAAGATTTGCCGGGAGCTGGATTTAGTTTTATGTTTGTCATTGCCACTCCACAGACAAAAAATATTATCATTTTGGAACTTAAGCATGATTTGAATTTCATTATGTTTCTTAGGTTGAATATTCATAAGCATTTTACATTTAAGAAAAAATAACAAAAGAAGTAAGAAGCTGCCCTTTTACTTTAAATATGATTTTAAAATTTCTTTCTGTGTGTCCGATTCGGTGGGCCCAGACCCAATGATAAGCTGAAGGCCCCTCGAAACGTGTTTTCAATAATCATCATGCGCAGCTTTCTTTTTACACATAGCCACCTCAGATATGTGGCTGAATGCCGAGTGGATAGGATGGCTAGTGAAACCGCCTGTGCAACACCACTTGGGTTCGGGATTGGGTGTTCGGAAAAAGCAGGAATCGAAATATTTCGAGGAGGTGGCCATACTTACTTTATGACTGTCTGCATGCTGGCCGCTTCGGTTTGGATTTTGTGGGGCTGACTATATATATTTTACTGGGCGACAAGTCTGACTTTTTTCGGAATTTTTTAGTTAACGAGAGGTTGATGGCTGTTAAAGAGAATTAATTGCATTTAGTAAACACTTGACTGAGACTCAAGACTTAAATCAAACATTCGTCAAAAGATTACAAGCGTCTAAACAGAACTGGGCATTCTTCCATTCGTAGTTTATGCTTTATTGACTTTGGTTTGTTTAACTATTTAGCAAGCAATTAATTTACACAGCGCTCCAGCTACAGCCGCACGGAAATTTGAAACAAACTGCCACAAACCGTTGCCTACTCCGCAGATCAGAGGTGGAATCGCGGTGAACTTAACTCGGCAACGAACGAAAAACGACTGAGCGCTCCGTCGCTCCATCGCACTCCTATATAAAAACAAAGGGGAAAAGCGCGCTGCCACATTGCTGAAGCTCAGATACTCTGCAGGCTTTTCTATTTTATTCGATTCATAAATTTGCGTATTTTGCTGACGCTATTAGGTTCGTCTGATTCTGGAATGTTATTTATAGAATAATTGCCATATTGAAAAGTGAATGTAAATATTTCTATTTAAGCTTAGGTTTATAAAAAAGCTAATTTTTATTATCTAATTATACATGTTTATGTTATTTGCAACATTTAAATACTTAATCCCAACAAACTGCAAGTATAATTGTATTCAAATTGTATGAATCTCTTGTTTATAATTATTTGAAACACCTTTGGCTGCCTCTATAAAGGAATACAAAATAAAGTTTATGTGCTCTGGATTAGCATCACTAGCCGAGCCGTTTTAGCCATGTCTCTTATTGAGTATCTCGACTATCAGATACCCTTTAAAATAAGCAGCCAAGCGACTAAAATATATGGTCAAGAGAAATTTGTTTAATATCAGAAGTTATCAGACCGATGGTCTAACGCGTGTTTTAATACAGAAAAAGTAACATTTAGATTACAATGCTTCACCGTTGTTCTTAACTTTAATTTTCAAAATGGTCTTAGTTTTACTTTCACCCTAAATTCTTCTTAACTAATCGACTTCTGAAAATGATTAGAATTATAATATCTTTCGATCGGACTATCGGAGCAGATATTTTATTTGCGCCTCCTTGCTTCTTGGTCCAAGAATGAAAATTTCAAATCCAGTACGAATAATTCAAGACCGAAAAATTCTTAATTTAAGATTGAAAAATTCTAAATTAAAGAACTTTTGAAGACACAAAAAAAAAATTGCTAAAACTAACCAACATATTTTTCAAACAGTCCCCAACCACAAAAATGGTCAATTCTACCAATTAAATAGTTACTTTCACAACAAACAAATACACACCCACCAAACTATCCGTATAGGTCAATTTTAACAATCAAATTTTATGGTGTGTATTTAAAAGGCTTTACTTAACAATTTGAGTTTTATTTTATTTCAGTTAAGGCATATTTTAAATGTAATTTCAATTCAGGAAAAACTTTTGGTAACGATTTAAGAGATAGTTAGGAAAACTCTTACTCCGACCTCGGTTTAAACCCGCGTCTACTCGCACTGCTGAAAGGGCTTTACCAAAGCATGCTTTTTAAAATGCGTTGACTAAAGAAGTCACTTGAACTTTCGACCAAAGCGCTAGCATACCAACTGTATTTATTTATATTTAAACCATTTATTTAAGGATTTAAAAAGTAAAATAATCAATTAGAAGCTACCTATTTACAAAAAAAAACCTATTTAAAAAATATAAAAGAAATAAAAATGTCGCGGCCAGGATATGATGTCGGTACCTTTATATACAACAATTGCCTTGATTCCTCGCATTTTGTGGTTGAATTTTAATTTAAAGATGAACTGATTCTTATTCTTATTCTTATTTTAAAAACTTTCGTACTCAAATTACTCGTTTTTTTCATTTATCTTGGTGTACTGCATTTATTCGAATTTTTTCGTGAATCTTTCAGGACTCCTCCCTTAATGTAGGGAAAAACCTTGAAAACGTGTGATTTCAGAGTTTAAAGTCTACAATAAATACATCATCCGGACGAGAAAAAGACCCTAAGATGGTGTAAAACAGCTTAATATAAAAACTTTACTAATACCACTTTTGAAAAAAGCTGCTATTATAGCTGGAAAACGGCTATAAACGCGAAATTTTGAAAGAAGTATTTGTAAAAAAAGTTGGTTTTATTTCAATTGTTTCAAAACGTGAACGAATATTTTAATGCAGTTTGTTTTATAGTGTTCTTTATTTGTGCATTGAAGTGACTGTCACACGATACATGTCGCATGCGACAATTTTTTCCCTCGTTTTATTAGATGATTTTTTTTAACCCAAAAGGCATAATTAAAAATACCAAAAAATACTTAAAAAATACTTTTTTTTTCATATTAATATGTCCTTAAAAATTATCCAAGGATACTCAAATTAGTTGATGAATTATATAGTCAAAAGTATTTAGTCAATTTAATTGAATTTAACTTTTATGTGACATTTAAAATCAAAACATGGAGTGTATGTATAATCAGGCCAGGTCAATTTATATAGGGCAGTCTTTAAAGGTTTCAGTATTGGCGAGCAAACTGTTGGTTTAAACCCTTTGGAACAATGGAGTAAAAATCTTCGAAAGATTGTTTAAATATCCCATTTGTATATCCTTTCGAAGGGTATTATGATGTCAATCAGAAGTTTTCAACGCAGTAAAGACTTATATTCTATCCAAAATAGTCTCTCAGTTTTAAAGCTTTCAGGATGATTCTTTTCCAAATATCTTCATTTTATTGCAGGTATATAAGTATATAAGTATATAAGTTGGAACGAAACGAATCTACCCCTACATCCTACGGCTCCCATGGAAATAACCAGAAATGTTACAATTTTAAAAAGAAACAAATTTATGACCGAAAATAACAATTTTTTTTGGATTTTTCTTTTTCAATACTTACTGTTATTTTTATTTTGTTCCTTATATATTTATCTATAGAGTGTTATCTCCTTTTCAGAAGAAAAGATATAATGAGACGGTCAATAAAGAATGAAAAGAATCCAAACACGAACTAAAAAAGCTAAAAACAATACAAATTACACTGATTTATCGCTAATTTGTATATTCTTTACAATTTATATTTTAACTATAAATGCGCGTTAAAAAATATGGGAAAAATTATAACAATGTAACAAAGAACTTTGTTAATAAGTTTAAATAAGCCAATTTGCCAATTTTATATACTGCGAACAAGAATTCTTTCAATATTTTACGTTGGACTTATAGCGCCGGAAACAAGTCATTTCGTAGTTGGCTTAAAGCATTTTCCTGTTAAAAACCCAACTATGGATGGATGTGAATTCACCCTTGGAACCTCAGTTGTTTCAGTAGAATCCATTTAGACTTATATATATTTTTTAGACTATTGTAGTTCCCTAATCTTTAAAGTAATATGCTTTAAGAGGTTATAATAAAATATAAAGAAACCACTTACAGATACTTTAAATCAGGGAACGTAACTGTTATAAGTTTTATTTTAAAAATCACACTTTAACAGTTATTTTCTGATTTGTAAAGTAAAACTCAAAGAATGACTGTTATTTTTTGAGTTTTATAATAAAAGTTGACAAATAACAGTTATTCGTCGTGATCAAAAATAAAACTCAAACTTGATCTATGGCGATTTTGTGGGTAAACAAAATTTAAAAAAAATATAGGTATAAAATATGTGCGGTTGCCTTTTTGAACAAATTTTTAGTAAGTTATAAAAAGCACGGGTATCATGTTTTTTTTTAATTATTTCATTTTTTCAAAAATGTCAAGGGAATAACTGTTATTCATAAAAATCAAAAAATAAGTTATTTTTTGATTTTTATTATAAAAATCAAAAAATAAAAATCATTACGGATTTGTAAACTACAATGGCTAATAAAAATTGTGGTGTATTTAAAAAATGTTTAGGACCCTTCTAAGTGCGTGATTTTTTTGTATGAAAAATTTACAATAACAGTTATTTTCGTTCCCTGCTTTAAATCCAATCCATTCTAAAGAATAGTAGTATACGAAATCCCCAAAAGCATGCTATGCTAAAAATAATTGTAAATGCTAACATTTTCATAGAAGCAGATACAAATGTTAAAGAGTGTAAAACAGGGACCGTAATCATTATAAGTTAAATAATAAAAATTACTTTGTAATGATTAAAATTCAATTTTTATATTTTACTTAGAGCATAATAATTATTTTTGATCAAAAAAAATAGGACTCAAAAATAATTTTTATTGATGATTTTTTTTTTTTTGCTCAAAATAAAACTCAAAACAGCCTCGCGGGCCTCCTGTAAGACTTTTCTCCAATCTGATTTCACAGCCGTTTAAGAGGCTATTAAAACTACCTCCACGATTTTTTGCAAATTTTTTTAACCACTTTTAAAAAAATGGCTTATCCCATGATTTGTATTTTATTTCAAAACCCATTAGCCTGACCTGCGACATAATGGAATATTGGGAGGAGAAACGCTTTGTATTCCCCTTTTTGTATCAACTGGCCAAGGTCGTACATTCAGTTCCCGCTACGCAAGTGAGCGTGGAAAGATCTTTTTCGGCCCTCAAAATGGTACTGATCGATCAAAGGTGTAACCTTGCTAATGAGGCTTTATCAAAATTATTATTCGTAAAATTAAATAATAAATAAATATGTTTGTAAAAAAATAGTGGAGGAGGTCCGCGAGGCTGTTATGAGTTTTATTTTGATTGGAATAAAATACATATCATGGGATAAGCCATTTTTTTAAAAGTGGTTAAAAAAATTTGCAAAAAATCGTGGGGGTAGTTTTAATAACCTTTTGAACGGCTGTGAAATCAGATCGGCGAAAAGTCTTACAGGAGGACCGCGAGGCTGTTATGAGTTTTATTTTGATCGGAATAAAATAAAAATCATAGGATAAGTTATTTTTACAAAGTGGTAAAAAAAATTGGCAAAAAATCGTGGAGGTTGCTTTGATAAGCCTTTAGACGGCTGTGAAATCAGATTGGCGAAAAGTCTTACAGGAAGCACGCGAGGCTGTTTTGAGTTTTATTTTGAGCAAAAAAATAAAAATCATCAATAAAAATTATTTTTGAGTCCTATTTTTTTTGATCAAAAATAAAGATTACCATTGAACAAAAAGATAAAAATCAAAAATTTAAAAATCATGGCGGGAATGCATAGATTGGACAAAGATAATTATTTGGGTGAAAATCATTTTTTTTTTAGGCCTATTATAAGTGGCCGATTTTTTTGTTTGAAAAAATAAAAATAATAATTATTTTCGGTCCCTGGTGTAAAATAAACGACATCGGTTTTATTGCAATTACATATTTTATTTATTGAATGCAACTCGTTCAATCACCCTTACGTACAACACATGCTCAGCACATCGTAAGTCATATGTGCTGCCATGTTTTAATACTATTAATGTGTTTTTACAGCGCATTGATATTTTATCCTTTCGTTTTCAAGTGTCAAACTACAATATTTACTCCGGGCTCTCCTTTGAAAACTTTCCCTAAAAGCGCTTGTTTGTGTCTGAGTGTTTCGTCTGTTTTTCTACTTTAGAAAAATATATATGTATGCTGTTATATATTATGAAGTAGCATTTTTCAGATTATATGGACTGGGTACAAATTTGTATACAATTCTCGTTTGTTTTTCTTCACTTCTCACTAGTGTGACCAACAATGTTAATTTGATCTTAAGAGTACAGTAAATGTCATAAATGGAAGTAAAATTCATTAAGAGTTGTCATTGGGGTCGTGGTTTTCAAATAGCTTACTACAATAAAAGGGATACAAATGTTGAGTCACCCATCATGCTCCCTCTTTAATTAAATTTATAATTTAACATACAAATTGAAAGAGAGCTTTTAAAAGCACTGAAAATCGACCAATCAATAAATCAAAAAAAGTAGCAGAATTGTAAATATATCTTTTGACTGGGGGTCCTAGCGATTTATCTATGTATTTCTCCTATGTAAGTCACCCTCTTCTAGTACGGGCAACCAAATAGTGAACAAAGCAAAACAAAAATGTAAATTTATGCATAAATAAATTTTTTGCGTGTATTTTGAATGTTTCCGGTTTGTTTTTTACGCTTTCTTGGTTTAGTAGTAGTAGTATGTAATACAGAGATATTCTTAGTACAACTAATACAAATTTTCAATTAAATTAAACTAAGTTTAAACTTAAACATTTAATAAAGGCGCGCCTCAAGCGAACGCTTTTCTTTATAATTTGCATTTGTATGTTGATTTAGCTGCCGTTGCACATAATCGATTTGCTTCTCTGGCCTTCTGCTAAACCACAAACGCATACAGTTTGCCGGCACAACTCACCGCCAGGTAATATCATAGAACATAAATCAGTAGACAGATTCGATACGATAGAGAATTAGTAACATTTTCCGGGCAACCAGACCCGTAAGGCGAAGGGAACTCAATGGGACTGCCTGTGACTTGTGTGAGTGAGTGTTTACGGGTCAACTAAAAATCTAGAAAAAGTATAATATGCGTCGGAACGTTAGGTGTACATCTTGAAATTCAACATTAATGTAGTTGGCAAAATGATACAATTGTGCATTCGCATTTTCTTAGTCAGCTAAGAGCACGCAACCGAGCAGTTATTACACTATGGTACGAATGGGGTTGATGATGATGACGCAGTTACAGATCTACGGACATGCTGCGAAATGGGCTCCACATGCCGGATGAGAGATGTTGTGATGAGAATGTGTGCGATTTTACAGCAACATATAAAATACATTCCGGGTAATCCACGGGTTGAGTTTAACTACTACCACCTTGTCCCTTTCCGTAGATGAGCTCCTCGCAGATCTTAAGCAGATCGGCGTTCTCGCGAGACTTCTGCTGCAGCTGCTCCGTCATCGACACCCGCGAGACCTCTTCCTTCTTGAGTAAAGCTTTCAGTTTTTTGGTCTCATCCGCATGCTCCCTCGCGTAGGTGTCCAGCTTTTTGTTGGCACTAGACCGGGAAAAATATTTGTTATATAAATGCTTTTAAAAACAAATGAATAGCTTACATCTCCAGCTGTTGCATGGCATGGTTTTTCATCTTGTCGTAGCGCTGTTCCTGCAACCGCAGATTGTCCATCATCTGCTTCCGCTCCGCCAAAAGCGTCTCCTCGTTGCTTTTGAGTTGCGAGGTCATCTCTTTGCTCTTTTCGTATTTCCTGCAATAATAAATCGATAAGTCTGTCGTGCAAACAAGTAAAACTTGGTCCGTTGAGATAGTGCTTACACATGCAGATCGGAGAATGTCGTTTCCAGCGATGTTAAGTGATGGTAATTGGCGTCCCGGTCTGCTTGCACTTCCTGCAATTGACGCTCGTGAAGCTGCGCTTGCTGTTCCTTTTCACTGATCAGCTCCGCTATGGCCTTCTCATAAGCCTCGATGACACCGCTGTTAAGAAAAATGAACAACATTAAATATCATGTTAAATTATTTTTTTTCTTGTAGATTAATATATATATAAATTAATTATACAAAAAAACGTTTTAAGTCAATCAGACAATTAGTACAATTGTTCTAAAAAGAAAAAGTATTGTTTGATTTTGAACGGTTCAATAAAATATTTAAAGTTAAACAAGAAAGGAAGCTAGCTTCGGCCAGCCGAAGCTTATATACCCTTGCAGATCATTCCTATTAATTAACAAATCGCAAAAATGTTAAATTTTCTAATATTTCTCATTAATATATAAGATATAGTTGTCCGATCCGGTCGGTTCCGACATATATACTACCTGCAATAGAAAGAAGACTTTTGCGAAAGTTTCGTCCCGATAGCTCAAAAACTGAGAGACTAGTTTGCGTAGAAACAGACAGACGGACAGACGGACATGGCTAGATCGACTCGTCTTGTGATGCTGATCAAGAATATATATACTTTATGGGGTCGGAAACGTCTCCTTCACTGCGTTGCAAACTTCTGACTGAAATCATAATACTCTCTGCAAGGGTATAAAAATAAAACTTCCCAGGTGGGTTTTTTATATTCTTAAACTAAATGTAAAAGCAGAATGGATTTACGTTAATTTTTGGCGGAGATACAGTGAACGCCTTTTTTTAAAAGCTCTGTGTTTTAGATGTGAGTGCTTTTTTCTCGAAGCCACGTTTTGAAAGTCCGTATTTATCGGCATTTCTTAAACGGCTTAACCGATCGTTTTCAAACTTGTCGCATATTTTTCTGCATGAAAAAACACGCCCCCTGGGAAGTTTTTTATTTTTAAACTTTAAATATTTTTTTTAAAGCCCAAAGTCGAATTTTTTAGCTGAAAAAGCTTTTTTGGTTTTACATTTCGTTTAAGAATAGAAAAAGCCGCCCCCTGGGAAACTTGATTCTTATTTCACAGTGCAACATGCAAAATGTAACCGCAATTTTGATTTCATGGACGTAGAGTACTCATCAAAATAAGCTAAAACCCATTTAGGTTTCTCTGGCTTAGCTCGCGTTAAAAAAAATGTTCGCTCATTTTTCGAAAAATTTGACTTTTTAATTAAAAAAAACAAGAGAGGAAGCTACCTTCGGCCCGCCGAAGCTTATATACCCTTGCAGATAAAAGAATGCTCACTCGGTGCAGTTCTAGGGATTCCAGATTCAGCGTTTCTATTTATTTAAATTTAGTTTTTAAGTAGTCAAGAATCAAAACGCCTACTTCCTACAAAGTTACAATGAATTTTCCTATATTTCTATGAATATTCCTATGGGATTCTTAAGATATAGTGGTGCGATCCGGCTCGCTCCGACATATGTACTACCTGCAATAGAAAGAAGACTTTTGGAAAAGTTTCATCGCGATAGCTTTAAAACTGAGAGACTAGTTCGCATAGAAACGGACAGACGGACAGATGGACAGACGGACAGACGGACATGGCTAGATAGACTCGGCTATTGGTGCTGATCAAGAATAAATATACTTTATGTGGTCGGAAACGTCTCCTTCACTGCGTTGCAAACATCTGACTGAAATTATAATACCCTCTACAAGGGTATGACAAGAGAGAATGCTATAGTCGGGTGCCCCGACTATCAGATACCCGTTACTTAGCTAAAAGGAGTGCAAGGGAGATGAAGATATAAAACTTTGATCGGGCATTACTTTTTAACCAATGGTCCGATTTGAAAAATTCTTCTACATTTCGATAGGTAAATACAACAAAACTTTTATAATTGAAAAAACCCGCCCCCTAAGAAGTTTTCTTTTTTATTTTTTAACGTTTAATACTTAACCGCTCAAAATCAAAATTATATTTTTTTTTAGAAAATTTAACATTTACTAATTTTAGCCTAACTATTAAGGTTTTTGTCCGATTGCCTTAGACCTTTTTTGTACAATCTTAAGAAAAAAATTAATTTTTTTTTGCAAGCGATTTTTTTATGCTAAAAACACTAAACCCCTTATAATAAATAAACCAATTTTGACAAAGTCCTGACCTAACAAAAAAATGTGGCTTTCCCATTTGAAATATATTTGTGGGCCAATAAAGTTAAAAATCCATCCTACACTTTTTGTCATGGGCTCATCGACCCATTCTAATTTATAAAAAATGGTATTCGTCAAGTACCAGAGAAGCGAGACTCACTTTAGCTTTGCATTTGTTTTATCTTTTTCTGTGATACGTTTAATAAGCGCTTCCTCGCGTAGTTCTCCCTCCTTGAGCTTCTTCTCAATGTCTTCGGACCTCGTCCTAAAAATGAACAGAACTTTAGATGACACTTAGAGTTGGTAAGATCAACTTACACTTCATTTTTGATTTTCTTTTCTAGCTCATCCATATTGTTGTAGTTATGGGTCTTATTATCCTCCGTATTAAGGCTGAAAAAAATAAATAAAGTAAGATGGTGGTACAAAAATAAATCATTCAGCTGTTACTCACTTGGAATTATCGAAGGTTTTGTTGCAATCGTTATCAATGACGTCCACACTCATTTTAACATGCTTCTGCGGAAATCAATCGAAATTATTAGTCAGTTCAATTATATATTCAGCCCCTATCACCCCAACTGACTTCCCGAAAAGATGTGTAATAGTGGGGTGATCGATTTCTTTTTTGAACAATATCAAGAATGTGCAAACCATCCATATTTTGATATATTATCAGCAACCCTAGTTTATAGCTTACTTTTGTCCTATCCACAGGCGGCTTAAAGTCCAATTTCTTGGCGGTTTCTTTGGCACTGGGTATTATTCCAAACGATTGGTTGCCACTTGTTTCGTGCTCCTCCAATGTGGGACTTAGGACCCGGTTTTGATTCTGGTTTGAACCCAGAATATTGAGCAGCGCCTGCTCTTGTTGACTTGGATGATTGACGGGCACGGGCGCTCCAAGGAGAGGATCAAACTTCAGCAGCAGCGAACTGCGATCGATGGGCGCATTATTGCTGCCTTTCGTGTACAAATATTCAAAATCTGATGAGTTCAGTATTACTGTGGATGGTGTTTTTTGGGTGTATATGATTATGTTAGATGAGTGCATGCGCGTGCATTTTGTTGTTTTGTGCGGAAAGAAGAAAAAATACAAAAACAATAGTTAGTCACTGGATTTAACTGATCCATTTCGGATTTTATTCAGTTCAATTCAAATAAACGCCAACGTCAAGGCCTTGACCTTCTCTTCGGGAATGTAACATAATTGGGTAAGGTATATCGGTACTTTTAGAATGAAAATACTTCTGTGAAAAAGGGAATGGATAAAACGCCCCTTAAAAACATGGAAATAATGTAAATAGGTGGGAGTAAATAGATACACAGAATTGGTTCAAGTATCTTGGTTTTAAAGAGCTTAGAACTACTATTAAATTTCTATAACATCGATAACACAACTCATACAAACTCATACTTTCAGGCAATCTAATTGATAATTTCAACCATTGTTGATTTATATTATTTTTTTAATTGGCTTGTTTTACTATCATTAATACCAAGTATTTTTCTTTATATCTAATCAATATTTTTGACAATATTAACACTGTGCCCTATCAGTTCTAAGCAGACTTTACGCGGATTCCATTTTACACAATATGTATTATTGCTAAGAAACAACAAAAAAATAACTAAACATTTTAATTCTCATTGAGATATACATATGTTGTTAAAATAAATTCGATTTTTTGAGATAACCGTGATATGTATTGGTTCTTGAAAAAAGCTTAAGACAAAAGGAAGAACGACGACAAAAAGAAAATAAGATAGGGCATGACTCAAAGCGAGTATGCCTCCCAGTTCAACCCCAAATCCAGATCCCAAAGGGGCACGAAAATGAGGTGTGCCTGTTCTGCATAGAAGCCGCATTATTATTGTCACAGTACACATAAAACAATTTATATAGTTCTTAAAATTTGGGATATTCCTAATAAAACAATTCTGAGAATGTAAAATTAAATTTTCAAATATGTAAACTTTGTTTTATTTCTTGTATAAACGATTTGGTCTCAAGAGAGTTCTAGGACAAATAGGATAGTGTTATGGCCAAGGTAGACCCTGTTTTTTTTTAAGTGCACATGGAAATGGATTGGAGAGAATACATAAACAACTGCGAAACCCAGCAATGGCATTAAAAATAGTGAAAAACCCGGGCAGGCCCAGATATTAAATGCAGGTCACAACTAAAGGCTGACATGTAAATGTAATGTAGCTTTATGCATTTTCCGTTTTGAAAACAGCGGACCAAAACAAAACAAAGCAAAGGAAAACGTCGGCTTGTGAGTCATTTTATGCAATCGACAAATGGTTTCCGAAAGTGGGTTGATTCAAGGAGAAGAGAAATTGAGAGAGCAGGAAGGAGCGAGGGAGCAGCTCTTCACACTGCGCTGCATTTTAATTGCGTGTCTTTGACAAGGTTTATATTTTCAAGATTTTCCACAGTTATTCACATAATAATGTTAGCCGTGACCACGCAGCGCCCGAAAAACACCCACACGTATTCGTACAAAAATACACTAATACGCAGACCGAATCACACAATGAAACTTCACGCTCTCACTCTCACATATTATTTTTTCTTAGCGATTCGGAGACTTGTCTTCTGGCTTTATTTATGCTTATTTGTTGTTTTTCTTCTGCACAGCTGCTGGTTACATTTCCATTTCCCATCACTTCTGGCGAGGTAAACTCAAAAAAAGTCCTCTCTAGCCTTAGTAAACAAACAAATAATTCTGATTTTGCGTTTTTCAAATTACATTTGCCGATTTAGCAGCTTGACTATCCCAAGATTAAACAGCAGTAGGGTACCGATGGATATAGCGACGTCAGATGTTGAAAACTAACTGAAATGGAATTTCTTATTGCTTATATTCTCTCCGCAAGTCCAATAAGAAAACCAGCGCACGCACGCAAGCGAGCGAGAGAGCGAACGGACGAGCCTGAATTCTGACTGGAGTGCGGGACAGTGACGCGTATTCAGCAGTCAGCAAGTGCGCAGAGAGAGCTAGTTCGAAAGAGAGAGCGCTGTGTACACGTTGTCTGTTTGGAGTTGTGCTACCTCCACCACATCCCACCCCCACCCACAAACCCCTCTCACTGTCTATCTCGCTCTGCTGCAGTTGAGTGCATGACGAGTTCTAAGTTGAATTCCTATGCGCTTGGGTGTTGGTGTGTGTAAGTGGGAGAGAGCATTCGATGGGTCACAGTGGGGCTTCGAAACTAATAACATTTAGAGCTGAATAATAGGCATTTGTTTATGATTATAATTTAAAGATGGCAAATATTAGCCTTAATTTTAAAAACAAAAAAAATATGCCTATAATTTTGTTTGGTAGCATTATCTAAAAATAAAAAATTATCTTCGACCAAGTTCATGAAAATCAACGGGGTTTATGCCCAAGGTCTTTTTTGTCAAGCACACCCCCAATTCAGATAATGCAAATGTTCTATTGAAAAGGAATGATCCATTAAAAATAAGATCAATAAAATGCTGGATACGCTAGCTTTAAAAAACATGCCATAATTAAGAGCATTTGTCTGCCACTGCATGACTGATTTAAAGCATATTAATGGATTTACGATATTAAAGCAGATTAGCTATTAGCGAGTACCCACTGTGCTCTACTGAAGCTTCTATGAATGATGAGAGCGAGGTTGGAAATTCGACGTTGGTGTGTGATTGTTTGAGTATGGGAGATAGTCAGAGATGCATTTTCCTAGTCAGCGATAACGATAAATTAGGCACCCATTTCGAATATTCAAACCGATCACACAAAGCATATTACTTTAAATAATTCGACAGATTGTTGGAAATAATTTCTGTTGCATAAGTAAGCTATTATAAAATTTCCCAATGAGCTCTGGTAATTACCCAAAATAAGCATGCGCTCATCGGGGCACAAATACTCATATAAAGCCTTTGAGCTGCAAAAAAAGAAACAAAAACTGACAGCGTTTCTTCAATTATACAAAGTGACATCACAGCGAAGTGCTTCCTCTTATTACCCGCATTTATACTCGCGTACGATATTTTGCTGATAAGGGCTTTGAGAGAGACAAAAAGAGCTGAAGAAATAAAAGAGAATTGCAATGGATTGGTAGGAGAAAGTAGCAATGAGTGGGAGCGGCGATGGAAAAAGAGAGAGTGCGCTTAATGCGGTATTTTCCACCAGAGAGCAGCAAAAAAAAAATGCATTTACAGCAACGACCAAAACAACAACAAAACCAGGAAACGGGAACAAAATGTGCAGACATAAAATGTATAAAACAAAAAATCATTTCCCGCACTCCATATTCTGCCATTGAAAGATAAAATATGCCACTAATTGGCATTTTGTGCCCCCTAATGTTTTAGTGTGCTCTTTTGGCTGTTCGAGTATTTCCCCCCTTGTTTTCCCTTTCCTGATTTGAAGTTCAGGTTCATTGCCTTGCATGAGTTTGTGGGTTTATTTTTACAGTTATATATCGCCGCGATATAGTCCATGCAGACGAGGAAAACTCTATGCAAACATACGTACAGATACATATATATGAATGTTTGTATGGTCTCGAGTTCAAAGGGTCCTTAATATTTCAAGTTCAAAAGTTTATGAGTGCTGGTGTTTCGGAAATGGCTGATGAGCTAAGGTCACGAACATGCAAAGGAATCGTCGGCGCAGTACAACTTGCATAAGAGGGAACTACGGTCAAACTTCTATAGCAAGATTTTTTGGGCGATTGCTTAATTTGTCCACACCACTTTATAATAATAGACTTTTAACTTTAAAAATGTCTAGCAAGATCAATAATCCAAAAATATAGTTTTCAAATAAATTTGAAACACCGTAAGCAAAATAAATTATAAGTGGCGCTAGGCTGATATTCAGCATCAGAAGTTTGACTGTAATTACATGTACTGGCACATTCCTAAAAAATAATATAATGGGTTTTTGCTTACAGTTCTGATTGCTGGCGCCATCCTGGAATTCAGCATCGAAGCCCGGCTCCTCCTCGCCAGCTGCACCTCCTCTCTGCCGGCTCATGACAGCAGCTGTTTTTCCTCCAACCGCTTCGGGAGCATTGGCCTTAATCTTGGCTTGGTTGTTGAAGCCACTGCTGGTGAACTGAGGGGTCTTGAACATGTCATCAGAAACCGGAGATATAGCACCAAAGTGTTCGACAAAAACATCGTCCTTTTCATCGCTAGCGCTGAGAGTAGCCTGCTCCTTGGCGGACAGGGCTTGCTCCTCTAGGACAACAGTTGCATTTCCCAGCGGCGAGACCGGAGATCTCGCCTCATGGATGGGGCCTCTCTTAAGATTTTGATGGGTGGGGATCGGTGGAGAATTTAAAACCGGTGCTTGTGTTTCCTTTCGATTTTGTTGAGGTGACTTGATCACAGTCACCTCTTCCACCCTCATGGAGACATCCACATCCATGGCATCGTCAGCCATAGTATCCCCGAGTACCTCTATCGCTGGAGTTGCATTTTGCTCCAAGCAGAAGGTGCGGCGCGGATTTTCCTTTTCCATGCAGAAAGTCCTTCGCGAATTCGCCTCCTCCTTTTCCGCTGTGGATTGAATGACCGAAAAAGTGCGTCGCTGGTGATCGTCGACCGATCCAAGACTTACGGCAAATGTTTGGGAACCCTCAAAATCCGCCGTATCGGCCTCTAATTTGTTATCCGTTATCCTACCGCTGTCGAAGGTCCCATTCAATGGAGTGGGCGAAAGCTCGCTCATGGGCAAAGTTTCGTTGAGCTGTTCCTGCTTCTCCGGACTCGGCTGTGTTAGCTGAATGACCACTGCTGACTTGGATATAGCTCCAGCTCCAAAAACGCTTTGCTTGCGATCCAAAGACGGTTCAACTACAGCCTTCTCCAAGTAGGGCATATCTTCCTGCTCTGGTGGAGCATGTGGCGATCGAGGAAAGTGGGACGGTTTCTCCGCTGGTCCTTTGATGGGAAAACTAGGTGAGGTGGGCTCCGAGTGGCTAGCCATGGTGATACTACCTCCCAGATCCAAAGATAAAGGCGTCGTGGATCGCTTTTGTGTTGGTGTGACTGCCACAACCGTAGGGGGGCGATGAGGCGGCTCCTTTAGTTCCTCCTTCTCCAACGTTGATGCATCCAAATCATCGGGCAAGGGCAACTCTCTCAAAGCCATGAATTCCAGTTCCTCGGCGGTTTTTGGGCGATGCGTTGGTATGGGCGGAGAAAGAGGCAGCTCCTCTCTTTTGGCCTGGAGCATCGGTATGGGCGGCGAGAGTGGAGCTGTTTGGTTGACTAATGGTGGCTCCAATTTATCCTGAGGCTCTGCAATATTCTGATCTGATTGATGATTTGGGAAAAGGTTTTGTGAGGAAGCCTTTTCTTTTTCCTCGGAAGCTTGCAATGGAGGGGAGGTTGAAGTAGGCGTCTGGGATTCCATTTGAGTCCGAGGCGAACTTATTTCCGTGCCATTATCCACTCTCATGGAGACATCCACTTCCATTGGCTCAAACTCTTCCCCATTTATTCTCTCCTCGGTGGCTTCCACAGCTGGTGATGCATTTTGTTCAAAACAGATGGATGCTTCTGTTATTTCGGTTACCGGTATTGTTTCTACTAAAACTGGAGTTTCCTGCTCTTCGCTACGGCATTCTAGTGGAGATCTGGCTTCTTCCGTAGAGAGTTTCTCGGGCTGATGTTGCGCCTGAGGTAGTTCTGGTTCGTCCACCTGCGCATTATGAATCGGATGATCATCAACTTCCAGTTTCTGTAATACTTCTTCCGGACATAGCCGTTGTGTTTCCGGACTTTCTTCCTTCTTCTCAAACTCTTCGCACTCTTTCCGTTGGGATGTCTCAATAGCCTGCTCAGACTCTTCTGATTCTCTTAAGGGCGATTCTTGCGTTTCCCGTTCTGAAACCAACTGTTGTTCCAGAACCGAAGTTCCTTCTATGCTCCTTTGCTCCTGCTTTCCATGATACTGCAGAGGATCCATCTCTGGGGCTGGCTGAGATTTGCAAATTATTTCCTGATGCAAAAGCTGATGATCCTCGGGACCCAAAACATCCTTTAACATTTCCATGGTTTCATTGATATCATCCACATCCATGGCTTCATAGCTGACGTTGTTGTGCTGGCTGACCGCCAGAGGATCTACGAATTCGTGCTCCAATGTGGCAGTCGAGGTCATGGACAACTGTTGCTCCAGCACATCGTTGAGGGCACTTGAATATGCCTCCAACTCAGAGCGATCTCCTGTATACCGCTCGCTATGAAGCGATAAACACTCCACGAAAACATCCGAGTCCGAATGGTTTGAATTGAGTTGAGCTGCAGGTTAAAATTGAAGTAAAGTAAGTTTCAATGGAAAATATAGATATAGATATTTATTTATTTAAAGAAAATTGCTTATACAATTGCTGTCGACAAAACTTTGCTCGTAAGAAATTGTATATAATCGGAAATGTGTTCTCGAAAACTCTTGAATCGACTTTTAAGCAATGTTCATCTTTTGTGGGGTTTGACTTTTGTGAAGCCACTACTTACCATCCATTTCGGCATTTAAAGAAGCCAGCTCTGGTATTTGCGTCTCGTCGAATTCGGGAAGACCTCCGAATTTTGGAACAGCGTCCGCATCCAACTTAGGGCAACCTGTTGCCGCCGTCTGATGGCCCAGAGCAGCGGCCAAAGCCTTCTGTTGCTCCATGCTCGGTGGCTTGGGACTGGGCTTCACCGCCAGCGGACTCAGCTGCCAAACGAAAGATGCAGAAAACGAAAGAAAATTAATTAAAATTCTGCATCGCGTGCGGCATGATTTGAAAGAAAAGTTATGAAAAATAATGTGAGCTGGCTGAGGAAAAATAAACATAATCCAAACAATTGGCAGACGAAAAACGTAAACAAGCGATGATGGGGTTGGGAAATTGAAGATGATCACGGACAGCAGCTGCTTGGGCATTTAATTACGAATTCTTGACACATTGCCTGAGTGACGGTTCGTAAGAGCTTCGGGTGTTGACATAAATAGGCCCGTTCTAGGCAAAGAAGGTTTTACATCTGTTTATACTTGTGGGCTTATAATTTCACTAGGTATTAATTTTATGCATTTAGTAACATTTTTGCAAGGATTATAAGAATGTAATGGCATGTTACCACATATAAATCAGAATAAAATTCAAATCCTATAAAGTGAACAGCAAACAAAATCTTAGCGCCCATGAGAGTAAAAAAAAGGAGCAAAAAAATGGAAAAAACTTAATATAACTAAACATGGGCGATATTGCTTGCACCCATCTTAGATACTCCCCACACTTGGCCAACTAAGAGCACACATTTGAATCAGTCGTCGCAGTCGGTCAGTCAGTCGACAAGCAAATGTCATTAATTTAAAAGCTAGCCAAGACGTGAGAAATCGGGGATATGGAGGGCGGGGAAACAGATTGGGAGGCATGAGGTGGGCAGATGAATGTGAAACTGGGTCGGCGTCAGCTTTTGTAAAATGTGAAACGAACATACGGCGGGATTTTATGTGACCGGCCCGGGTCCGTCATGTTTTCCGTCTATTCATGGTTTGGGTGCAATGTTCTACTCGCTGAATTTAATTAGAGCGCATTATTGTACGATGACTGCGGCAAGGTTAAAGTCAGCGAAGACGAGGAAAGAGGGCATGTGTTAGCCTGAATATGGGTGCGCCATTGAACAAATTGGAAGTAGGGTAAAAGGTAAAAGCCGGATGAATTATATTACCCAAAATATCCCTTATGCAACGGAATTGACTAATTTTACGGAGAAAATATTTTGCAACAAGAAAACCAATAAAGAAATGTTTGGTTTTAGGAATGAAAATTATGTAAATTAAAAACGATTCTTAATATATTCTTTTTAAAAATGTAAGTACATCCACGTTTCCTTTAAATGTATATTGACAATACACTTTATAAGGGAATCTTTTTCTGGGAAGTGAAGAGAAACACATATTATTTGCATGGGCATTCAGCCAAATAAAATGTTAAATTGCCACGTCATTTAAAATATTATTTTTTGCAACGCAATAGGCTAAGATAAATATTGAAACAATTTTTCTCAAAACAAATTGGATTTTGGTAAACTGATTTGACTAGATAAGTACTATAACCGGAGCAAATAATATTTTTTACATTATCACTAAAGCATTGTTTAAAATTATCGAGCTTGATTTGAGTATTCATAAAACAAATAAATCAGATTTGTCTATTTGGAAAAGCATATAATACATTATGGATAGGATCGAAGACATCTACGTTAATGTTTAACAAACATCGGACTAAAATTAGAACACTCTCCGCAGGGGTAAAAATAAATCGAATAAAACGCAAAACAAACGGTGGACTAGTGAATGTTAAACTTTTTGGGGACATACCTCGCCACTCATGGCCTGTAAGTGCTCCATTTCATTAGCACTGACTTGGTTTAGATTGACGTTTATCTCACTTAAGAGTTGCTGGATGGTTTCCCTACTACTACTGCTGCTGCTGCTTTCGGGGGCAGCATGTGTGATTGAGACAGGAAGACTGCAGTGCTGTTCCTCCAATCGCAGCAGATCCTCTGAGGCAGACTCCAGAAGTGTGTCCAAGTGCGATGGGATGGGTGGAACTCCTTCATTATCCCCAGGTGACGGATGGGGATCCGTGGGTCTGATAACTTCTGAGGCATCCATACCCGCTGGCTGAGTGGCGGTAATGCCAGTGGTGGCGATGCTCTTGGGCCTTTTGATTATGCTCGCGATGAAGTCCATGATGGTCTACGCACGATTAACTCCTAATACGCGTTACGGTTCACTTGATTCCATAAACCGATGGATCGATCGAATTTCTTGGTTGGCCTTAAGTGTTTTTTCCTTTTTTCGGTCTTTCCGTTGTGACACTGATTTCGGCTCGCCTACTAGGTAAAATCTCAACTGTGATTTTCCGCCTTCCGCTCTGTCATTATATTGGGTAATACCGCCGGGATTCTCGCGACCCGTCGGCGCGTACGTTTCTCGCTAGCTCCCGATCTTGTCTGTCTTTGAAATCAATTTAAAAATATTTTCGTTTTCAATTCGCTTTGCTCCGCTCAGCGGCACACAAGCACAAATGCTTTTGGGCAAGGCGAGAGTGTGGGGGACCGACCGAAAGAGAGCGAAAATTTGAATGGCATCCACATAACGATCCGGATGTTTTTGTATGTCTATGAGTTTGGATCGTTTCTAGCCCTCATTGCGGTTCTCCCTTTATCAGCACGCACCCCTCTCAATTTTAGTGTTATCTCTTCCCGCTCTCTAATTCTCATAGGACGGACGGGATAGAGTCACAAACATATCGGGATATATACTCCTTTCTTTATTGGATTTTTAAGTCTCGTGATAAAACCGTACGTGTCACGGAAACTCGAGTGTTTTTAGTTTTGGACATTTTTATAATTTCAGTCGGAAGTTACAAAATTTGTAATACAAATCTCTAAGGATCGGACAACTATATTAAATATAATAGAAAATCAGTTAAAGGTTCGAGCTTTTTCATCATATTCCTTATCCTTTTGGGGAATATTATATTTTTATAATTCAGAATTAAGAACTATTTAAAAAAAATATTAAAACTTGGAATATTGGTGATTTTATCCTATTATCTTTTACTGAGGGGTGTAGCACTTTTTAATATTTCAACACTTCGAATACATTCGTTCACAAGAACTTTTGTTAAACTTTATAGATGATTGTAGATCTGGGGTCGGCACAGAATATGTTTGCTAACGTTATAGGAAGAGCTATCCTATAAGCCGCATAGGAAGCTGCCCCGATGTAAGTTAATGATAGCCCAGTATTTAATGCGTTAGAACTTCAAAAGTGAATAGCAAAAAGTTTCACGATTTTCGCTTTTTAAAAAAACGATATTACATATAATAATTATTGCAATTGGGCAGCTATGCAGTATGCTTTTTTCAGCATACACATATCAATAATCACGTCGATCGCCGATCGCTTAGGCGCGCGTGGGAGAACGAATGCAATTTAATTTATATAAGTATATAAGCTGCTTAATTGGCACGTAATTTAGTGCAATGCCAACAGTGCGGGCGCCAGATGACAACCTTCTGGTCTGAACTGCAATGGAAAACTGAAAAACTAGACAAGCCTTAGACTCAATTCAGACTGAAATGCAGTGAAAAACGTAAGACACCGCAAATAAGCCTAAATACTCAAAGAGGGGGATAGAAAACGAGGGAAATATAAATAGGGCAACCGTCTACTGCTAACGAATAAAAGTCTTAGCCAAACAGCTGGAAGAACCCTGAACACAATTTCTATGTAGATTTAAATTTATACACATTTCTAGAAAGTAATTCTTAAAAATATTATATTATATTATAAAATATTACGGATAGTGGAACATTACTCTAAGGACTCAGCTGTTATACATATGTATATTCGCTTGATTTAGAATATTTTTTGCGGTGTAGCCCTAGTGGATGCCAAGTGACATGCAATCCCACAGCCGTTGTTGCGCATCACGGCGTACTATCTGCAAGTCGAGTCGAATCGAATCGAGGAAGTGCTCCACATTGCCCAACGGCTGACTTAGCATATTTGGCGAGAAAATCTAAGGCAGTGAAACGGAATCCCACACGATGGGCCATGACGAGGTGGCAATAGTTAGATGTTGGCTTTAGCAATGCGTGACAGGTGACAAGATATCACTCGGCAGTGGGAAACGGAACATAATACAGGTGGTGTTGTACCATATGAAGTTTATAAATCAAACAGAGTTTGTCTCTCCTGAATTTTCCGAGAATAGTTACAAATTAAGGATAAAATTTTTTAGGCATGACATATTTTCAAGCTCTAATATTATTTTTAAAAGGTTTTTTTAAAGACTAAATCGTAAGCAGACGAAAATTTCTGGTTAGTCCGACATAAAACTGATACAAATATACAACTTTTTGATTGTTTATAGTCGGGGACCAGAATCTTATACGTGGCACATGGTGGCCTAAAGTATAAAAATTGAATAGGAAACTTTGGCTGAAATTCGAATAACCCATGCAACAACATGGGAAAAATTAAAGCAAACAAATATTGGGGAAAAGGCGACTATAACTGAACTATAAATAGGCGAAAAACAAATGTAGACAACAAGGGTGGAAGCATCTGCAGATCATCCTTAAATACCATCGTTGGTGGCGAAAGGGGAGATAGAGTTTAATGACTTTTAGTCAAACTCCAGATCCAAAAGAGCCATTTAATGGCAGTATTCCATTTTGAAGTAGTGGACACTGAAGATTCGGTCGGACGATCTACATCAGCAGATTATATTTTGATTTCAATAGTATTTAGCATATGGACAATGGAAAATGTCAAGAGGCAGCAGGCTCCCTCAGATGTCGGACAAACAACATGAGGAAGAGTTCACTTATTGGAAGATCACTTGGCATACCAGATTCCCTGTCCCGTCGTCCGACTTTGTGGTCATTTTTCCGGCCGAGGCCCTCGATTTCTTTGTCTTGCCCGGCTTATTGCCCATTTTCGGGGTGGAGCTACGGCTGGTCTGGACACTTGGGATGGACAATGTCCGGCGAACACCGATCGACTGGAAGCTCTGGTCGTCGACAGCTGCCACAGGGGTAATAAAAACAGCGCAAGCTAATAATATATACAATGTACAAATGCGAATAAAGGAAAATGGCACAACAGATCGAAGCATTACCCCATACATATGTGTATTGTATTCCAGGGCATCTTGTGCACACGCTAGAAAGTGAATGTTTTGGCACATCGCACATGGTCGGGAGTCGGGGGACGGGGCACGCCCCCAAGTTCAGTTAATCCGCTTACCTTAACGCCGCCATCGTTTTTGTTGATCTCCCGCAAAACTCCGCGACCGCCGATTCCCATTCCCAAGCCATTGTCTGCACCATCGAATTCCATGGCATATGTCCCAGATGCAGCGCTCTTCTATTGGCCGATTGCACAGTTTTCACTAAAAGTGTTGCGTTTAAGGGGAAAACTCTTGAGTATCGCTATGTTCAAAAGGGTGACGCGAATTTTCAGCTTTGCTTTTGTGTAAAATGCCGCTACAATTTGAAGAAGCATGAATTGCAGTGTGACCGCGCGTACGTCCGGTTAAAATACTAGTTTCTGTGTTTTGGTATATTTAAAACTATCGTAACCAACACAACCGAAACAGCTGCTGTGCTGGTTGTAAATAAACATTTAGGGGATTCCCTATACTGTTGACTTGTTCAATTTTGGTCGGCTGTTAATCTTGAAAATGTTATTGAATCGTTGAAAACCAGTCATAGCAATTCTGTAAGTTCTTATTATTTACTTTAAAATTTAAATTCCAAAGAAATAAAAAATGAAAAAATTCCTGAAATTTTTAGTTACATTTTCAAAATTTATTACTATTTAGATTGCTGTTTATGTCCTTAACGACTATAGACAACGACTCTTACAAAACAGTACATGTTTAAAAAATGTACAAGCAATTTTTTATATAAAAAACATCGCCAGTGTGATGAGTATATACAAACGAAAGTATCGATATTCGAAACCAACCATCGATGTTTATTCATTAACCGATACTGCTATCGACTGTTCTTCTCCTCTAATTAGAACCGCATAAACAACAAGTACTTTTGAATTTAATAATTTCGATTCCTGGAAGTTAGTGATAGAAGCAACACACGGCCAGTTTCTAGTAGAGAACGGCTCGCGAGGATTACTAGGAACCACTTTTTTCGGAATGAGCGGAATAATAGGCAGTTCACAGCCCGAATCCAAAGGGATTCCAAGTCAGGTTTTCCTAGCACAACAATCTAGGTATTTGGCTATACTCATCCTGCTACTGACTAACAACTAATATCATGATATCTTACAGGGGCAAAGAATTTAAAAGGCGAGCCCCCGAAAGTACAGATAATCGAGATGCCGACCCAATTGGAAATTTTCATTTTATCCCGCCAAACGCAAATGCCGGAAGGCCCAACTAGGGAGCTCCAGTTACCACTCTTGGTAAGTACCAGGTCCAAGCATTTCAAGAGGCCAAGCCCACAAAACGCCGGCCCAAAAGATCGAAAAACAGCGTACCGCATCCTGAAGCGCAAGGCTACCGTCCCCATAACGGTGGACCAGTGTCAAAGAAGGACTACGCTAAAATTCAGGAAGACATTGCCTGGGCCCAGGAAGTTATACCGAACCTTGACATTAACTTTCCTCCCGAAAAAGACAAAAATCAGGATTCATCGAAAAAGGAGTCGGCATCAGCGACAAAGAAAGCCAGGTTCACATCCGAGACCATCTCATCGCGATCATATGCAGAGGTTGCCAATGCTCTCAAAGTAATGGCTGTCATCGGCAGAAATCATATCATGGGCACGATTCCCCGCAGCCAATGGGAATTGGTACAGACTGCACTCGCCAAAGTAGCCTTACAAATGCCGAAATGCAGGGATGCCGGCTGGTGCAAGGGCAACATTAGTGAATGAATAAGAAGTGTCACATCGCAGGTACATTTACTTCTTAACGGGAAGTGCATTAAACCGCTAGGGCAATGCGATGACCGCATCACCTATGAACTCGACGAAATCCGCCTCAACTTTTGCAAGTCTGAATAAGTGACTCCGGAAAACCTGGCATCATACAGTTCGTAATGTCTTGGGAATAAAAAAAATGACGTTAATCAAGTTGTAGTTTTTTGATCCCTTTTAATTTGAAACATTTACAATATTCTTAATGGTGATCAAAAACATATGTCCTCTGTAGGGTCGGAAACGACTACATCACTGCGTTGCAAACTTCTGACTGAAAGACTAATACACTCTCTGCAAGTGTATAAAGGCAGAGAGAACGCTATAGTCGAATGCCTCGACTATCAGATACCCGTTAGATGGGAGATTAGGTGAGCGCAATATATACTATATATATTAAAGGGGCAGACTCGCTTTCTTTTACTTGTTACATACGAGGAACGATCATACGAACTTTCCCCAAAAGAGGTTTCCGTGAGATAACCGAATTTACCCTTTTACTCTACGAGTAACAAGTATGAAAAATTATAAAAAATGGGTGATTAATAATAAATCACCCCCAAGTGATTACGTATTATTTGGACAACCCCTTATTCGCTTTCCATTATGTATTTAATATGCTTAAATTACCCCCAGGTGATTACGTAATATTCGGACAGCACCTAATTTGCTTTCCATCATTTCTTTCATTTGCTTAAACGATTTTTTTTTGCAAAAATGTAGGAAAGCTATAATTTTAAAGAAAATGTAAAGTTATTTACCCGTTAGATTTAAAATATTGCAATAAAAAGGAGGTACATTGATTTATGGAGATGCTTTATTAGAAAAATATTGCTCTTTTGCCATGTATAACATTTCCTTTCATATAGTAACCATTATCAGATAACATTCAACAGGTTGCTAAGCGTACTCTAGTGATGCAACTTTAAAAATATTTTATATTCATATTTATGTATGCACGTAGGACCTGAAAAACTACTAATTGAATTATATTAAATTAGCTTGGTAATTGATAATCATAATACATAACGGTAATAAAGTAATTAATGTGTACTCTAAAATTATTGTTTTCATCTATGTAGTTAGTTTTTTATCATAGATAAAGGTAGTTAATTAAAATTGTCCATAATATGTAATTATTGTGTAACTACTCTTATATGTCTTTTCATGTAATTCTCTCCAGGTGTTTGCAACACAATCACTTAAATGTGGAACCACAGGCCTTTAGAAGGATCACCATTTAAAGTTGGTTTGTCTGTGCAGAGGGTTCTACATGAGGTTCTATTCGGTACGGTTCCGTTTTGGTTCAATATTGACTGCTTAATACTGGGCTTGTCCCAAGCCGTGTTCCACATTTGACTTATGTTCTTACGAGACTACTAATTATGGCTGCGATGAAGCTAATCCCAGATCTAAGTGCTGTTATGGCCTTCCGGGTTTATTAAATAAACTATGACCTAAAATTAAAGTTAATGAAAAATATGTTGTTTTTTTTTTTTGTTGCCATCGCATTAAATTTTAGGGTTGGCGAGCGTCTTTTCCCTTTTAATATAATTTGGTTGAGGATTTTAGTCCACAGCTTTAAGCTTAAGAGATTGCCTACTTAAAAATTTACATTTGTCTTTAAGTGCCTAGTATTCTCTCACTGAAGCACTCCGATTTATGGTTTAGGGTAGAGTTGAGCTTCTACTAAAGTGTGCGAAAAGATCCAGTACTTAACTGGACTTCTCCCCTACGAAAGTTTGCTAACGTGCCTTACAAAAAACGAAGCCCTTAAAGTTATTAAGCGGGCTATAAGTATATAGTGTTTATCAAATGTTGTAGACTATAGTTTACAAGTCACAGCACCACCAAAGTGAACACAGTCAAGGTCCTAGCTGTGAATTTAGCAATAGCTTACTTTTGAACGTTTGCTTCTTCATTTTAATCTGGCTTTTGCACATCAGATTCCAACCCATTCGCTATATCTCAAGCCAAACCAACATCACGTCACTTGAAAAGCTGTTCACATTGGTGGGCCGTCCTCGTTTATCTTGGTCGTCCAAATGCCGGGCATCAGTTGAGGAGGTAGATTCGATTGCGGCGTGGTCAGTTTCCTAATGGCGCTGTTCGAGTGGATGGTCTTGGAGGTGGGTGTATAGCCCTTGTTGTCCATTCCGTCGATGATGGTGAACTGTGAGGCCATGTTCTGGGCCCCCTGGGCAGTCGGTGAAGGCGAAGCGGGTCTCGAGATGGGATGCGTCCTAGGACTGCTTATCATAGAGGTGCACAGGCCACCAAAAATGGCCAGAGAGGCGAATGCCGTCTGGGGAATGAGCTGTCCGAAGACGACTGTAGATCCAATGAAGGGGGCCCCGAGCAGCCAGAAACGAGCCCAGCAGATTGTGGAAAAGGAGGTGATTTTCTTCTTGTCATCCGACACCAGTTCCACCGTACAGGTAGTCAGAATGCTAAGCGTCGTGGATATGGCCATCTTGGAGACCATGGCCGAGCACATCAGCAGGGCCACATTCGGGTCGAGTCCAATCACACTGGGCTTCGGCACCAGCCAGCCGCAGTAGGCGATGCATCCGGCTACTATATTGAAGAGTCCCGTCCACAGCCACTTGCGGGTGGTCTTCAGGATCAGGAAGAGGCCGAAGAAGGTGCCCATCATCTCGCTGAAGCCCGCGACGAAGGTGTTGATGTACAGGTGGTCGCGGCTGAAGGAGCGGATATTGAGCAGCATGCCGTAGTAGACCACGATGTAGAGCGACCAGGCCAGGTGCACGAACACCATGTGTCGCACCGCCCGCTCTCCCTTCCACATCGACCACCACCCACTGGGGGGAGGTGCGTCCATCGCCGTCTGCGCCTGCAGCTCCAGCTGCTGATCGATGTCGTGGGGCAGGTTGTAGCGCGTTCCGTTCACCTCGGCGCACTCCAGCAGGATCTTCTTCGCGTCCTGTGTGCGCCCTCTGGCGATCAGCCAGCGCGGCGAGTCAGGAATCCACCTGGAATCAATCAATCATTGTAGAGTAATCATTGGTAGAAAGATGCATGTTCCAACGGATAAGGATCTTAAAATAAGGTTTATATATTTTTGATCTTGCCTTAATAATCCGAAAATTAATTGAAAAACTAGAGTGAGTGCTAAGTCGACTTTCTCGACTATAAAATCAAATAAAAACACCTCTTAACGAGGTAAAAAACTAGTGACGACCGCACCTTCAACATACAAAAGTTCTGATATCAACATTTGTGACGAAAAATTATTACACTCGTCATTAAATAGACTTTCTAATCTTTTCTCATTCGGCCCGCCCTAGCAAACTATTCCAGCCTTTTTCCCTTTACAGGCATTTTCTATTGCAGCGTGACGAATTAGAAAAGATTAGAAAGTCTATTTAATGACGAGTGTAATAATTTTTCGTCACAAATGTTGATATCAGAACTTTTGTATGTTGAAGGTGCGGTCGTCACTAGTTTTTTACCTCGTTAAGAGGTGTTTTTATTTGATATCAGAAGTTTTTGTTTGTATACATTTGCTCTCATAGGAGCTAATATATACATTTAAATTTAAATTGGTCAATCATAATTTTTAAACTATTGTATTTTAACAAATTAAGTTAAAAAGGCGTTGAAGTATTTCAAAATACCTTTTAAACGAGGTATAGTACATGTCTGTACCTTTAGTAGTGTAGAACTTACAAACTAACGAAATTTAGCTATTTTTAGCTTTTTCCCGCTAAAGTAGCGGCTTTTTCCAAAAGTCGTAGAACAAAAGATTCCTATATGGAACTCTTAAGTGCAAATTTACTGATTCCATGACCCTAAAATACAGTTCGGATACCCTCCCACAAAATTCAATACTCAGGGAGCGTTAATTGTTCGAGCTGGCAAAAGTGGCTATTAAAAATATTAATGGCTATTATTAATAAAAATAACTTTTAAACGTGACTTTTTACAGTAATGTGTTATATACCAAAATTTAAGGAATCTCAAGGGCTATACAGTTTAAGGTTTTAAAGAAAATCGTTAGAGCCGTTTTTGAGAAAAAAAAAAAAAGCTAAAAAAAAGTTTTAAAAAATTGTCTTTTGTTCATATTTTTTTAAGTATTACATTTACACAAATTGCATATAGAAGGCGTTTATAGCATTTAAAAATACCTTTCAAACGAGATGCAGCACAAGCCTGTAGCTTTAGTAGTATAGAAGTTACGGCTTTCCGAATTTTAGCTACTTATAGCTGTTTGCCCGCTAAACTAGCGGGTTTTTCCAAAAGTGGTAGAACAAAAGTTTTTTATATCGATGTGATGAACGTCATATCAAATTTTCAGAACTTAAAAAACATATTTTGGACAAGTGGACAAGTGGACAAGTGGACAAGTGGACAAGTGGACAAGTGGACAAGTGGACAAACTGACAAACAGAATTAAATTTTCATTTTGGGAAGAAGAAGAAAATCTTATTTTGGCTATAACTTTTGAACGGAGAGTCGGATTTTGACAAATGACCCCTCATTCGACGGGTATTTTCAAAAGGAATACAACTAAAACATTGCGAGGGGGCATTTATCCCCACCGGCCCCAACAGCTCCAAATTTCGAAATTTTCACTTTTTCACTTTCACCGCTCTCTCTCCCAAGCCAATTGATTTTCTTAAAGTCTTGGTATGCAATCCTGTTAGTTTTGGCAATACCTTTCGATAGGTGTATTATTCATTATGATCGGACCATCACAGTAGATTTTCATTTCTTCGTGTATATATAGTAGTCGCCTTCGCACACTCTCCTGGTGCGCTTCGTCACTACATGGACTGCCGTCCATAGTGATAACCGTTACACAGCTAAAGGGAGTGCGAGGGAGATGGATATATGCAAGCAGCAAAAGGGAGCGCCACCTATGGTCGATTTCATTGGCCGTTTAATTGGTCATAACCTTTTAATGAATGGTCGATACGAACGTAAATGAGCGTGCAAAACTTTTTTTTTAAACAGAACAACTTAATTTCAGTTCTAAATTTGGTCAATTATTAATCCTGTTGTTTCCGAGTTGTGGAGGTGGAACATTCGGATAACAAACTTGCTCTGAATCAGAAGGGTAAAAATCAAAACTCAATATGCTAGCTCTTACATACAAGTACCCTTACAGCCGGGCACCAATTATAAAATGTATTTGATGTTTTATTACTTACTGCCACAGATAGATTAGTATCACAGTGGGCCACGAGATGGCCATGTAGAGGTGAGACCAGCTGGACCAGAAGCTAGCCACTCCGGGCAGCATCATCACGCCAATGGACCAGAACTGCTCGAACAGCGTAGAGACGCAGGTGCGGTACTTTCCCCCCGTTATGTCGGCCACTAGAAATATGCGAACCATTAGGCCTTGCCACTTGAGAAGACAAGCTACCAGCACTTACTGATCTGACCTCCGGCGGTGTACATCTGGGCACAACAAACGGCGGAGAGACAGCGGAAGAACACGTGCAGCTCGTAGGAGGCCACGTGACCCGTGAGGTTACCGCAAAATATCTGAGTGATCATGCCGAAGAGCATCACATTTCGGGGACTGAAACTGGAAGAAGGAAATGCGAATTTAGATTATACTCTTTATTAATAACCCTGAACTTACTATTTGAGCAGCTGATTGGCCAGGATGCCGCCGGTGAGGACACCGAACAGATGGAAGAACTGCGTGACCGAGACGAGGATGTCCCGGGAGCAGACGAGATCGTACTGGGTGACCACCGAGTGGTAGTCGGCCTCGTGCTGAAACTCCGTGCAGGGTATCACGTTGGAGTTGCGGTGCAGGGGCTTCTCCCACACGCGCGGCTCCTGCTCACTGTTCTCGTAGTTGTAGTAATGATGGGCGTGCTCCTGCGCATCCTGATAGACATTGCAGAAGTCTATGCTGAACTCCTGGTCGTCGCTCTCCTCCTTCTGCGGATGCGACACCTTGATCCACTGCGTCTGGTTTTGGGCTCCGATCGTGTTTGGCGGCTTGCAGAAGAACTCGCCGTGTCGCGGTGCCGGGGCCGTGAAAATGATGCAGGCCATGAACCAGGAGGAGGGGATCTTGCACAGGAAGATCAGGAGCACCGTTCGCAGCTGCCACTTCCCCCAGGGCCCGGTGATTCGTCCCACGGCATCCACCTTGGTCTGCATCTTGGTGTTTGGCCTCGGTGCCTTTCCCTCCAGGCGGGCGAAGGTGTCGTTGGGATAGAGCTGGTACTCGTGCTGCTGCTTGTGGGTGGGAGTGGGAGCGACAATGTCCCCGTCCGAAAGGTGCTTGTAGAACGCGCCCTCGTGGTTGTGGTTGTTGTTGTTGCTGCTAGTGTTGTTGTTGTTGTTGTTGTTGGCCTCTCCTTCCGGATCTTCGTGGGGCGCGGAAGTGGGTGGAGGTGCTAAGTCGCCGGCTAAGGTGCTGTACTTGTGGGGTGACCTACTGGCTGATATGTGCGAGGAACTCTGGACTCGAGGGGGCGAAGGCTCGACGTCCTTTAGGGGCAGTAGAGGGGACTCTGCCTGCGCGGAAAAATAGTGGCAAATAACAATTAATATATAATAATGACAATTATTGCATAATTTTAGCAATTGTATTTTTAAGAGCAAAATATATTCCCTAATATAACATTTATTTACTATTTATACCCGTTACTCGTAGAGTGAAAGGGTATATTGTATTCGTGCAAATGTATGTAACAGGCAGAAGGAAGCGTTTCCGACCCCATAAAGTACATATATTCTTGATCAGGATCATTAACCTAGTCGATCTAGCCATGTCCATGTACCCTAACGCCCACAATCGCCCTAAACGATTTTAAAATTGTGTCTGTAGGCCACATCTTTTAATATTTAAAAAAATCTATAAATGCAATTTTATAGTGCTTTTAAAGACCTATCGAAATGAAGAAGACATTTTTCAGATAAGATAAACGGGATCCTGACTTTAGCATTCTTCCTTGTTTTTATAATTTGTCCAACTTTAATTGTGTGTGTATTTTGTTAAAATAGACAAGTCCATTTAATTAGCCATACATTTTAAACTACAGTTTATTTTACGCCAAGAAAGCATTTCTTTAATGTCCCTGACACAGCTTGAACTCTCAACCATTGATATTCTGACAAGGGCCAATAATTCAATTCAGTGACGTTCCCTGATTATCCCAAGTGTCCTTGGGCACTCGAGTGCAGCAATTGGTGGGCCTGGAGTGCCAGGAACTCGCACACCCACTCACTCACCCCTACTGCAGCTGTGCAGATAATGAACATAAATTGCAGAGCCAAGTGGATCTGCCTCACTTCTTATTTATTCCTAATTTTAAGTCCCTAAGTAGGCACAGCAACTTTCTTAAGGAATATATATTTATATACAAAGGGCATTCAATATCATTTTTTGTTCTATCACTTCCGAAAAACCTAACCACCAAGGTTGATTGTCATCTATCCTGCTAATATTTTAAATGTGGTATTATTAACAAGTGGACTTGTTCTACAAGGCGTTTTAAATAAAAAGAGTATTGAAAACAAAACATAAATGTTATTACTTATTTGTATATGTGGTAACTGTGCCATAGTGCATAATTTTGTGAAAGCTTACTCGATTTTTATTTTATCTAACTACTATAAAAATTGAATTTTTCGCGTTAACGACATAAATAAACACTCTCTTTCTTTTTTGTAACATTTATTAGGCCGCAGCTGTCACGGCAAATATTAATAAGGACACTTTTTTCCGCACATATGCGTACTTGTTTTTCAAAACATTTATATAACTGTATGTGGTGTGTCAGTTGTACTTTTCATTTGTATAAGGTAAAATGTCACCCAGAAGACCGCAAAAAGTAATTGCCCTTCATCACGAAACTCGCCTACTAAATCCGCAAATAGGCTTTCGACAACCACCTTAACTATATAAATTAAACAAGAAATTAGCCCTTAGATTTTCTGGTAACCCATATTTTGAATGCAATTGTTTTTAAAGACATTTTCTAGCCGCACGCACAACGGTTCCATTACTTTAAATAACATTCTTCTTTTTAATTAGCTTTCCCTATTTAGAAGTCTTAATGTTCCTCATTTTTCCAGCACAAAAAATAAAACAGACCAAAAGAAAAGCAAGATCTGACAAGAAAAAAGGACAAATCATTTTTCACTTCTCATTTTTGAGTTGACAAATGTCCTAGCTCACAAAAAAGTAACGGTCACAGGCGACCAACTAAACAATCTTAAACATCTCTTCCGCAGCACATAGATGTATTTTCTCAACAATGACCAACGACAATAGCCGAGCGCCACGCCCACTCTAACGCCCATAATCGCCTTAAGGGACCTTAAAAAAGCCTGGCACCCACATATTTGCAGATTTTGTAAAACTTTTCAATAGACGGTCTTTTTAAAAATATTGAAACGGCCCAGCCGAAGTTCAAATATCGAATATGCCGATGGGCAACCCTAAAGATTGGTGACCTTCAAAAACAAGAGTCGAGGCAGGTGAGGAATTTGGATTGGAAAGGGCTTGGATTTGCGGATTATGCATAATTCATGTGTATATGCAAATCAAGAAAAAACAACAGCCGAGTGAAAACAATAAAAGCAAAGCAGAAAAATAACTTTGAAATTCGTTCCTTTGCCGGGAGAGAAGTCTAAAGGATCCGCCGAACTTGACTTCCACAAGTATGCAATCATTTTATTCGTTTTTGGCTTCCGACAGCGTCTGTCTAGTTTTATGCGTCAATTAAATAAATTCGTTTTCGTATCTTCATTTTTTCTTTTTGGGTTTATTTTTGTTTTGCCGACTGCCGGCACTTGTGCAAATATCGCCAAGGTTAATGCCGATTGCCTGCGTCTGTTATTTTATATCAGTTTCGGGTTGGAAAAAGTTCGAGGGTAAGCTAAATTTTATGCGTCACGTGACAAATGGTTCAATAGACTCAAGGTGATTCACTTATGTAATTAAGAAAATGTTAATGGAAAGGGTCACTGACTTTACGCTACTTACAGGCTTTCGCAAAAGCGGGCCCAAGTTTTATACAAAAATATCAATAATATTTAAAGAGTTTCAGAGGCGTCGCCTTGAAACCGATTTTTTAATAAAGCACAAAGCCCCGAAAATCCAGCTATAAATTATTCATAAGTCTCTGCCGCATGACTGTGCACAGGAGCACGGGAGAATTCTCCTCCTTGTCCTTGCTCGATGACTGATGGAGCGACTTAAAGCCTGGCCAGATTGCCGACTCCCTCAATCATAATTAAAGAAATTTCTTACAGTCGCCATAAATCTGCTTCTGGCTGCACAATTTCTTGCCCACAACATATTCCAATTATCTTCTTAATGAGGAGCACTTGGACGGCCAACTAGTCGGCAAATTGTTTTCATTTCAGGCAAACATACTTACATATGGGCACTTCCAAAATGTCGCTCGGGACATTTGCACACCTTTAAAGTTGAAAAAAAATTGTAAAACAATGGATTTTAATTTTAATTATGGGCTTTTCTTTTCACTCTTCCCAAGCTCTATTTTTTGGTGAAAATCTTGATTTTGTACCACTTTTAGTTTTTAAGATATCGGTAAAAAACTGCCGTATTCGCTCGGGACAAAAATAGAAGTGGATTTCGGGGAAGTTCATACAACACCAGAAATTAGCGAATTCTGATGGAATATTTGAATGCGATTTTTTTAGAATGTTGTTTAAACATGTCGCTGTGAAATGCTTTTTGTTTTACTCAAAAATTCTTTGCCGTTTTTTTTTTATGCAGTTTCAACCACATTCGCTCGGGACATGTCGCTCGGGACATTTTTTCCGACTGTTTTGTAAAGCGGTTTTTTTTTACCTCTATCTCTCAATTGCTGGATGTTTTGCTTTTAACTTAATAGTTTAGTATGTGAATGAAGCATTCAGTACAGAAAAATGTCACATATTAGCATTCCTATAGGATAAATTAACAACAGAAGACAAGTCCAAAAAATACCAAAAAAATAGCCAAAAACTGATTTTTGCGTATATTGGTCGGGTTTGTCATAAAAATAATCAAACTATACTCCAAACTTGTAGTTAAGCTCAGTATCCAACTAATTAGAAACTAATATCGGGGCAAAATCATGTGGAAATATGTTTTATTCAAGTTTCAAGGTTTTTGGCTTGGTGGACTTTTTTTTGGAAGTGCCCATATACAAATATACACTCCCGTAGGGAGTTCTCCTTAATATTTCATTAACTTATTTATTGCTCTCCCTAACTCAATTGTAAGCGTTCCCCTGTGAAAATAAGATGCTGAAATGTGTACAATGGAAACGGTAGGGCGATACGTCGAAGTCTATTGTTTGCAAGAAAGGAAATTTGTAATTGAAACCGAAACGAATGAGCTCGTTTGGCTTCAATTCTGAAAATATGAGTTCGCTTCTGGCTGCTGAATAATGAGAGAAATATTCAATAAAAATGGTATGCTCAGTGGCAAAATGCTGCAGAGGCAACCAAATTTAATAAAAGGGATTGAACTTTTAAAATAGCCATGTGGCAATTGGTACTTAAACATTGCATTTAAAAAACTCGTTAAAATATTTGGTAATTTTAAAAATAATTTTTAGCATAATTATTAAATTATTCGGCTAATTTTTTGGTTAAACATCTATGAGATAATACTAAAATATTACAATTTATATCAACGTACGACTCGGAAGCCAACTAAATATATCATAGTCTCATTCTAAACTGGTGTTAAATAAATGAACCCGGTAAAACCGAAAGATAATCTGTTTCATACTGTTTAGTCGCTGTATCGTTTACCCATTAGCCAGGTCTAATGATTAATTAGTTGTTTGGCCTAACAATCTTCAGGTAACGACGACAACGCTGTGACAGTCAAGACTTTACCTCGACAACAATACATATACATGTTGCAACAACATTTTTTTTTTGGTTTGGAGGTGGGTGGAAAATGGAGCTGTGACAACAATGGACGCCAAAGTTAATTGGAGCAATGCCAGAGCAAAAGTGTTTCTTGCTAGGATTGCTGTTTTTTGCCTTCTGGCAAACAGGTAGCAGAAATGCGTTGGCTGGGGGACAGGTAAAAGGCGGGGGGCTGATGTATTATTCTCGGCCGGTGCTGTTAAGTGAAAAGCCCTGGCAAAATCTGTTGACATCCAGCTGCTGAGGCGGCCTAATGTGCTTGTGTTTCTGCCACTTCTTGTGCTCGCAATATTGTTTATGCATCAATAAAATGTACGTTGTGCCAAGGCACATTGGGTAAGATTCCACTTTTTTTCATAAAATAAATAAATTTATTAAGCTAAAAGTTGACCTTTATGCGCATTACCCTTGGCCTAGGAAACAAATAATCAAAATTTCACGCCGATTTGACTTTGGTCAAAATTTAGATACATCCCACATGGCGGATACGTAATATGTTTTAAACAGAAATACATTTTTGTCAAGTATTATATTTATATTTATATTATATTTTATTTGTATACCCTTGTAGAGGGTGTTATAATTTCACTTAGATGTTTGCAACGCAGTGAAGG